AACAAAAAAGAATACAGCACTTGAAGAGAGTTCAAAAAAGAAAAAAATAGAGAAAGGGTAAGAGGAGAGAGAAGATGTTTCTAGAAAAACCAGACAGAAACTCTCTTGGGACAGGTCATGCCTTCCACCATCTCCCAAGCTCTCAAAGACCACTGAGAAGAGACGGCTGGACTATATGAATGAGGACCTCCCAAGCCTTTCTACCAATTTCATATTATCTTGTTCTCCACCTACCAAGTTATAGTATTTTCTTTCTCTTTCCACAAACCTCATACAACACAAATGAAGTGCATCTAAATTGGTAAAACATTCTTTTTTTGAACATAAATTAATTTACTTAGTCTCTTATCTTGGTCACATCAGTACTATCTATGACTACACGAACCACCACATATTTATAGGCAATCAAATTTTATCTGAACTTAGCATAAAACACCTTGGGTAGAAGTATGTTAAAATGTCTACTGGGTTCTGAGGATGATGATGGTATGTCACTGAGCAACTGGTGTTCTGCAAATGGTGTTCTGCACAAAACGCCTAAAGGACTGATTTCGCCAAGTGTCCCAAAAACAGGACAGCGAAACAAACACACATTAAATACCTAATAGCCTTACCTGTCATCTCTGATTTGGTAGAAAAATCCATAGCCATTGTGGACCATGGGAACCACCACTCCCAGGGTTCTTAAATAACCGATCAGACTTGTTGAGAGAACAAAGTTTCCACCTCCTCCACTGTGTGGCATAAAGAGAGGATATTTTACTAGGCTGACAGAAACATATTGCTTCTGAAGAGCTTTTAACCATCAGAAAAAAGGATTTGATGGATCAAAACACTACATTATATTACCTTTTGGAGAAAAGTGGGTCTGTAAAGAGTTCTGGAACAGGAAGACCTTCCTCTTTTGCTATGAGTAAAAGACCTAAAAGATGACGGTCAAATCCTGCAATGAAACCCCAAGTATGAAGGTATAAAAAATTTTTCAACATGAGAAAATTTTTTTAAAGTCAGAATAATTCCAATGTAGGTACCTTTTCCAGCTGAAAAATCTTTCATCATTTTATTATGTTTTGCAAAAGCTTGTAACATCTTCTGCTGCCGCTCAAGAAGCTGAGTTAAAAATCAAGACATACTTCAGTAAACTATAAAGAAACCAAATTTAAAAAACCCTGAATTCAATGTAATTGAACATAATTTGGGTAATCTGAGAGAGAAAAGATTCCTAGAAAGATGTTAAGACACATGCTTCTAGGGCACCTGGGTGGCTCAGTCATTAAGTGTCTGCCTTCGGCTCAGGTCATGATCCCAGGGTCCTGGGATAGAGCCCCACATATGGCTCTCTGCTCAGCGGGAAGCCTGCTTCTCCCTCTCCCACTCCCCCTGCTTGTGTTCCCTCTCTTGCTGTGTCTCTCTGTCAAATAAATAAATAAAATCTTTAAAAAAAAAAAAAAAAAGACACATGCTTCTCTATATTTTCCTTACTTCTACTGCCTTTTCTTTCCTATACTGTCCTTCATCTTGATGATTTCTTTCCAGGAAAGGAAAATAGGAACTTGTGGGAGGCACTGAAATAATATTCATTAAGTGTCAAAACAGAAGCAACTAGGATTTCAAAACTAACACAGAGCTGTTCAAAAATGATAATGAAACAGTTCTATGATATTAAAATAAATGAACCTATATACAACTGTGTCTATCAAAACTAAAGAATATGATACCAAAACAGCAGTGGGAAGGAACTACCCTGTTTAAATGGTTTAAAAAAAAAAAAAAGACAGGGGTACCTGGCTGGCTTGGTTGGTAAGCAACTTCTGATCCCAGCGTTGTGAGTTTGAGCCCCACACTTGGGTACAGAGACTGCTTTAAAAAAGTATAAAACAAAACACAACTGTTCTGGTTCTAAATACATGAAAACAAGAATCTGTGATTTCAAAAACTTTCAACCATATCAAGAAAAGCTTCCTCTGAAGGCACTGTGGGACAGTCTGCACTTTACTGGTGTTATTCTAAAGGTAGATCAATAATAGTAAAATATTCATGGTATTAAAGATACTTTGCCTAGAAGGTGACACAAATGGGCTTCTTCTCAGGTCTTTCCTGTTTCATATTCTTTCCAAGTATACACTTCACTGGTAAATGAATGAATGCTTTGAAAACTCAAGGGATAAATATCTGCAAGTATTTTACTGATCCAGGGGAACTGAAGCAGAGAAGTTATTCAAGGACTAAGGTTCCTTTAAACAAGTAAATAATTACTGTGCATTTTTTTCCTTTCAATACTCACACCAGTAGAAGGATCCTGCATGGACTGGCACCACCCAAGAGCTTCTACTGTACACGTGCGCATAGTCTCTGTTCGGCCATGGTAAAAATACCTTGTTGTAGCAGTCTCATAGCAGCTGCCAGGGCTACAAGAAAAAAAAAATAAATAAAAGAACATGTCATAAGAAAGAAAATGCTCAGGGCGCCTGGGTGGCTCAGCTGGTTAAGTGACTGCCTTCGGCTCAGGTCGTGATCCTGGAGCCCCGGGATCGAGTCCCACATCGGGTTCCCTGCTCAGCAAGGAGTCTGCTTCTCCCTCTGACCCTCTTCCCTCTCGTGCTCTCTGTCTCATTCTCTCTCTCTCAAATAAATAAAGTCTTTAAAAAAAAAAAAAGAAAGAAAGAAAATGCTCAAATATTATTACAAAGAAAGCTTACCGAATAAAGCCGGCTTTTGGTCAGACACTAAGTTCTACCCTACAGACCACTGTTTAGACATTCAATAACAAAGAGACTACTTTCAGTAATTCAAGAGTCAAAAAGTACTCTATCCACAGGGCCTGGTACAATATGGGCTGTTTCAAAGGCTTGGCTGTGGTCAGGTTCTGTAGAGCGGTGTGTCTGTGGTACGTGGCCTCCAAGATGCACCCCCAGTGATCCTTGCCTCCTGGTAGTAATACTCTGTGTAACTCCTCAGTTTGAGTATGAGATGGACCTTGTGATTTGCTTCTAATGAAAAGAACAGGACAAAAGTGATAGGATATCATTTCTGAAATTAGGTTACAAAGAGAGATCTTACTTGGTCTCACTTCCTCAGCATGAGGAAAGCCAGCTGCCATGCTGGAAGGTGCCCTACAGAGAGACCAGGATGGTGAGAAACTGAGGGAGGCCTCTGGAAAATAACCTGAAAGGAACTGATCTCTTCTAGTAATCACAGGTGAGCTTGGAAGCAGATCCCCTCTGAGGAGCACCTTCAAATGAGAAAAGAGCTGAATGACACTCTAACTACAACTTCAGGAGACCTGAAGTCAGAGGCACCCAGCTAGCCTGCACCTGGGTTCCTGTGAGACAGAAAATATGAAATGACGTTTATTGTTTTCTGCCACTAAGTTTGTGGTAACTGTTCCACAGCAATAGATAATGCAGAGTCCTTGGCCTTGAGTTCCTTCACATACTACATGAATGACTACAGAATTAAGTAAAAGCATTCTCTAAGAAGTTCCCCAGAGTGCTGACTGGATTAAAGAATGATGTACACAATTACTTAACATTCTTATTCCTGGTGGTTGGCATTCAGAGTTAAAGAGATCAAATGGATGAGAGGAAAAGATGGGAACATGGGCAGTAAGACAGCTCAAACAGAATTACTAAGCCTCTTCTGCCCAGTGTGTCTATATGGCTGTCTCCCTGGGCTGACATAGTATCCTTTTAAAGTATGAAGGAGAAAGTGTAAATGAAAACTTAACACTAAAATTCTTTAAAAAAAAAAAAATCATTAAAAATAAAAGCAGTAAATAAAAATATCACTGCTCTGTAACCTCTAATAAAAAAACAGATCTTGGTTATGATCACCAATGCTTACTAAAACCATTAGGTAAAAAACTCAGGGAGGAAACTTTGTAATGGACATTGGCTAACAAATCCACTCTTAATCTCAACAGGATGAAACAGAAAACAAATGACATTAATTATTTGACTTACTGCTGAAAAAAAATAATAAAAATAACTGATTCTTACTCTCAAGTCTCTAGATCTAACTCTGAGCTTATAGGAAACATGGGAGACAGAGCAACATGTTTAATAGTTATTTTTATTTGACTTAGAAGGCAAATGCATAAAACAGTAATATAAACTTGTATCAATGGGCCATGTATAAAGATGTAATCTGTGGCAAAATAAAGAGGGTACAGAGATGTACAGAAGCAGAGTTTTGTATACTACTAAGCTGTTATTATTCAAACAAGGTTGTTATAAAATATGAATTGTATTCTCCAAGGTAATCATGAATAAAATAGATAAAAAATGTGAAGAAAAAGAAGGAAGTCAAAATAGTACATTATAAAAAAAATCAAGCAAATTAAAAAAAAAAAGGTATTGGAAGAATTTAGAAACAAAAACCAAATAAGACCTACAAGAAAACATAGGTAGGTGGCACAATTAAGTACCTCTTTATCAGTAATTATTTTAAATGTAAACAGATTAAACTATTCAATCAAAGGCAGAGATTGACAGGATGGATTAAAAAACCCATCATCTATGTATGTGCTATCTACAAGAGATTCACTATAGATACAAAGACATTAAGAGGTTAAAAGTAAAAGGACGAAAAAAGATACTCCATAAAAATAGTAAGTACAAGAGTTGGAGTGGCTATGTTATCAGACAAAATAGATTTTAAGTCAATAGGGTTAAGAGGCTAACAGAACATTACATATTAATAAAAGGCTTAATTCAAGAAGATGTAACAATTATAAAAATATATGCACCTAAAAAGAGCCCTAAAACACATGATGGAAGTACTGGCAGAATTAAAGAGACAACCAGAGCACTCCAGTGGCAGTTGGAGACTTTAGTATCCAACTTTCAAGAATGGAGATAGCCCGGGGAGCCTGGGTGGCTCAGTCGGTTAAGCGTCTGCCTTTGGCTCAGGTCATGATCCCAGGATCCCGGGATCAAGCCCCTCATTGGGCTCCCTGCTCCGCGGGGGAGCCTGCTTCTCTCTCTCCCACTCCCCGTTTGTGTTCCCTCTCTCGCTGTGTCTCTCTGTGTCAAATACATAAATTAAAAAAATAATAATAACGGATATAGCCCATGTAGACAGGGGATCAATAAGGAAACAGAGCACTTGAACAACAGTATAAATAACCAGACCTAACAGACTTATAAAGAACATGCCACTTCATAAAAGAATACAAATTCTTCTCAGGTGCACATGGAACACTTTCCAGGAAAGACCACTGAGTAGGCCACAAAACAAGTCTCAATAAATTTAAAAATACTGAAATCATACAAAGTATCTTCTTCAATGGAATGAAGCCAGAAATCAGTAACAGAAGAACAACTGGAAGATTCACAAATATGAAGACATCCAACAACACACGAACAACCAATTGGTCAAGGGAGAAATCACAAGGGAAATTAGAAAATGCCCTGAGGTGAATGAAAATGAAAACGCAACCTATCAAACCTTATAGGATGAAAAGTGTTCAAGGGGAAGTTTATAGCTGTAAATACCTGCATTAGAAAAAAAAAATCACAAATCAATAGACTAAGTGCACACCTTAAGGAACTGGAAAAAAGGAGAGCAAAGTAGACCCAAAGCTAGCAAAAGGAAGAAAATAATTAAGACTAGAGATAACCAAAATATAGAAATTAAAAGTTAACTAAACTTGGTTCTTTGACAAGATCAACAAAACTGACATTTAGCTACAATGATTAAGGAAAAAAAGGGGGTAAAACTCCAATTACTAAAATTAGTTATGAAAGAGAGGGCATTACTGCCTTTACAGAAATAAAAAGGGTACGAGAATACTATGAACAACCATATACCAATAAACTGGATAATCTAGATGAAATAGACATATTCTGACAAAACACACCAACTACCAACTCTGACTCAAAGAACAGAAATCTGACTGGACTTACTGTAAGTAAGGAAATGAAAATGTAATAAAAAACCTCCCAACAAACAAAAGTCCTGGACCACATGACTTCATTGATTAATTCTTTTTTTTTTTTTTAAAGATTTTATTTATTTATTTGAGACAGAGAGAATGAGAGAGAGAGAGAGCACATGAGAGGGGGGAGGGTCAGAGGGAGAAGCAGACCCCCTGCCGAGCAGGGAGCCCGATGCGGGACTCGATCCGGGGACTCCAGGATCATGACCTGAGCCAAAGGCAGTTGCTTAACCAACTGAGCCACCCAGGCGCCCCTCATTCGTGAATTCTAAGACTCAAAAAATTAACACCAATCCTTTTCAAATTCCTCCAAAAAACTGAAAAGGAAGGAACATTTCCTAACTCATAGTGAGGCCAGCATTACCCTGATACCAAAAACAAAGACACACATTTTTCCAAAGAAGACATACAGATGGCCAACAGACACATGAAAAGATGCTCATCACTCATCATCATGAGGATGTGGAGAAGGGGAACCCTCTTGCAGTGCTGGTGGGAATGCAAACTGGTGCAGCCACTCTGGAAAACAGTATGGAGGTTGCTCAAAAGTTAAAAATAGAACTACCCTACCATCCAGCAATCACACAACTGGGTATTTATCCAAAGGACACAAACACAGTGATTTGAAGGAGCACATACACCCCAATGTTTACAGCAGCATTATCTACAAAAGCCAAATGATGGAAACAGACCAAATGTCCATTGGCTGATGAATGGATAAAGAAGATATGGTATGTACAGATTACTCAGCCATAAAAAAGAATGAAATCTTGCCATCTGCAACGACCTGGATGAAGCTAGAGAGTATTAGGCTAAATCAGTCAGAGAAAGACAAATACCATATGACTTCACTCATATGTAGAATTTAAGAAACAAAACAAGCAAGCAAAGGGTCGGCGGTGGGAGGGGAGAAGGAGGCCAACCAAGAAACAGATTCTAACTATAGAGAACAAACTGATGGTTACCAGAGGGGAAGTACATGGGGGATGGGTCAAATAGGTGATGGAGATTAAGGAGTGCACTTGCTGTGATGAGCACCAGGTGTTGTGTGGAAGTGCTGAATCACTAAATTGATTCCAAAACTAATACCACACTGTGTTAACTAATTGGAATTTAAATAAAAGCTTTAAAAAATAGACATTACAAGAAGACACAATAGACCAATATCCCTTTATAAATAAAGATGCAAAAATCTTCCAATTACTAACAAACCAAATTCAGCAGGATATTAAAAGGACAATACACCATGCCCAAATGGGATATATCCTAGGAATGCAAGGGTAGTTCAACAAATGAAAATCAATGTAATACTCCTTGACACAGGAAAGCATTTGACAAAATCCAACACTCCCCCATAATAAAAACACCCAATATACTAGGTATAGAAATAAGCTTCCTCAACATGATAAAGGATATTTATGAAAAACTCACAGCTAACATCATACTCAATTGTAAAAGACTAAAAACTTTCCACCTAAAGTAAGTAATATGACAAGAATAATTCAGCGTACTATTGGGTGTTCAAGCCAAAAGAAATAAAAGGCATCCAAATTGGAAAGAAAAAAGCAAAACTATCTCTATCGACAGATGATTTGATCTCAAGTCTACAAAACACTATTAGAATAAACAAATTCAACAAAGCTTAAAGACACAAAACCAACACACAAAAATCAGCTGCATTTCCATACACTAGCAATGAATGACCTGAAAAGAAAATTAAGAAAACAATTCCATTTACAATAGCATAAAAAAGAATAAAATTCTCAAGCTTAAACTTAACCAAAGAAGCAAAAACACTATACACTGGAAACTACAAAACACTGCTTAAAGAAATTTTAAAAAACATAAATGGAACAGGGCTCTGTGTTCTTGGATTGGAGACTATCTATCACTAAGCTGACAATGCTACCCAAAGCAGTCTAGAGATTCAAAACTCCAACATTTCTGCAAAAATGGAAAAACTAATCCTAAAATTCATATGGAATTTCAAAAATAGCCAAAACAATCTTAAAAAGAAGAACATAGGTGAAGGACACACACTTTTGGATTTCAAAACTTACTACAAAGCTACAATAATCAAAATAGTATGGTACTGACACAAGAAGAGACATATAGACCAATGAATAGAATTGAAAGCCCAGAAATAAATCTTTACATCTCTAATCAACTGATTTTAAACAAGAACATCTAGACCATTCAAAGAACAGTCTCTTCAAAAAATAATGCCAGTTAGCCTGGTGATGGGTATTAAAGAGGGCATGTATTGAACGGACCACTGGGTGTTATACGCAAACAATGAATCATGGAACACTACATCAAAAACTAATGATGTAATGTATGGTGATCAACATAATAAAATTTTTTAAAAAAATGATGCCAGGGTAACTGGATATCCACTAGCAAAAGAATGAAGTTGGACCCTTACCACACACTATACACAAAAATTAATTCAAATAGTATCAAAGACAGGTGCCTGGGTGGCGTAGTCAGCTAAATGTTCGACTCCTGATTTTGGCTCAGCTCATGATCTCAGAGTCATGAGATCAAGCCCTGCACTGGGCTCCATGCTAGGCATGGAGTCCGCTTAAGATTCTCTCTCTTCCACTCCCTCTGCTCCTCCACCTCCCCCACCGCTTGCACTCTTGCTCTCTCTCTAAAAGAGAGAGAAAAAAAGCACACCAAAGATATAAAGTAAGAACTAAAACTATAAACCTCCTAGAAGATAATATAAGGGTAAAACTTAATGACACTGGGGGGGGGCGGTGCTTGGGTGGCTCAGTCAGTTAAGCCTTCAGCTCAGGTCATGATCTCAGGGTCCTGGGATCGAGCCCCGCATCAGGCTACCCACTCAGCAGGGAGCTTGCTTCTCCCTCTCCCTCTGCCACTCCCCCTGCTTGTGCTTTCCCAATCTCTCTGTCAAATAAATAAAATCTTAAAAAAAAATAAAAATAAAACTTCATGACATTGGATTTAGCAATGATTTCTTGAATATGACAACAAAAGCACAGGCAACAAATGAAAGCAAAATAGATAAACTACTTCAAAATTAAAAACATTGTGCAAAGTATACCACCAAGAGAGTGAAAAGAAAACCTACAGAATGGGAGAAAATACTTGCCAATCACATATCTGATAAGGGTTTCATATCCAGAATACATAAAAAAACTCTTACAATTCAACAACAAAATGACAACCCAATTACCAAAAGCACAAAGAACTTTTATAGACAGTTTGCCAAAGGAGATATAAAAATGGCCAATCAACATATGAAAAGATACACAACCTCAGTCAATAGGGAAATGCAAATAAAAACCACAAGGAGATACTACTTCAAAACTAATAGTTATAATTTTTTTAATGAAAAAAATAAGTGTTGGCAGGGATATGGAATAATTGGAACCTTTGTATAATGCTGGTGGGAATGTTAAATGGTATAGCCATGGTGGAAAATAGTTTGGCAGGTGCTCAAAGAATAAAAAGAATTATCACACAACCCAGCAATCCCACTCCTAGGTATAGACTCAAAAGAAATTAAAACAGGGACTCAGATACTTGTATGTGAATGTTTACAACAGCATTACTCACAATAGCCAAAAGGTGGAAATAAAACAAGTATCTATCAACAGACGAATGGGTAAAGAAAATGTGGTACATCTACATAGTGGAATATTTAGCCATAAAAAACGATGAAGTTCTTATTCTACAATATGGATGAACCTTGGAAACATTATCCTAAGTTAAATAAATCAAAGACAAAAAGACAAATATTGCATGATCCCACCTAGAGGAAATACCTAGAACAGGCAAGTTCAGAGACAGTGAAAGTAAATTAGAGATTACCACGGGCTGAGGCAAAAGGAGGAGTAAGAAATTATATATGCTTAATGGATATAGTTTCTCTATGGGGCAATGAAAAAATTTTGCAAATAGACGGTTGTGATGGTTGCACAACACTGAGAATGTAATTAATGCTACTAGATTATATACTTAAAAATGGCTAAAATGGAAAGTTTTTTATATATATTTTACCACAAGAAAAAAAAGATAATCAACTGCTTAATGCAAATAGTAACAGTGTATTGTGAGGCTTACTACATATGTAGAAGTATAATAAACAACAACAGCACAAAAAACAGGAGAAGCGTTGTTTTAAGGTTCTTATGTTACACTTCAAGTGGAAAATGTTACTTGACAGTAGACTCGGGTAAGTTAAAGATGTATTTTATAAACCTCAGTGCAACTACTAAAGACAAAACGAAACGAAACAAAAGAGTACACCTGACAATGGAGATAAAATGGAACAATTAAAAAACAACACTATGAGTTCAAAAGAAGATAAAAAAAAAAAATCAGGGTAAAAAGAAAAGAAAGAGCAATACGGTAGACTTAACCCCAACTTTACTGATAATTATATTAAATGCAAATGACCTAAATATCCCATTTAAAGACACGTATTCTCAGACTGGGATATTTAAAAAGCAAGATCATGGAGCCTCTACTTCTGCCTAGGATGTAGAAAGTCACAACATACCATCTCTCCTATCCTAAAAATTAGTAAAGACTGGATAATCTATAAAAACATGAACCCATGAGGAAACTGAGGCTACAAGAAGACCAAGTGATTTGAATTCCAAAGAACAGTAAAACCTCTCTTAGAAGACAGCGGACACTTTAGGTGATGAAAAACAAGACTGTAAAAGTGTCACAAAACAAGACTGTAAAAGTGTCACACATCAAAAATCTAATACACTGAAGATGGAAGTCCAAATTAAGACATGGTGCCACTTGGGAAAAAAGTCAGGAAAAAGACTGGGGAGTGAGGATGGAATAGCTATGCTAAAGATATACCCTTGGACTTCAAGATTCTGAAAATGGAAAATGAATGGTCCTCACCGTCCATAAAGTCTATAATAGGCCAGCTGAAGTCCAAGCTGAATAAATGTATCAGGGTGAAGCATCTTCTTCTTGGTTAGCTTTTTGCCAAAAGGTGTAAAGGCATACGCCACAACCTGCAGATCAGATGCCTAACCAAAAAAAAATTAAATGGGAAGAGTGAAAAATCAGCCAAGAAGAACACCCCAAAGATAACCAAATCATCATTTGCATTAATCATTACATATAAAAAAATTAAAGGTATCAAAGCTATAATTTAAAATATTTTAATGTTGTTTGGGCACCTGAGCCCAGTCAGTTAAGCATCAGACTCTTGATTTCAGCCCAGGTCATGATATCAGGGTCGTGAGATCGAGCCCCCTATCTGTCCGTGCTCAGCGGGGAGTCTGCTTGAGATTCTTACTCCCCCTTCTCCCTCTGCCACCACCCACCCCCATCATGCTCGTGCTCTCTAAAATAAATAAATCTTTAAAAATAAATAAGTAAAATGTTTTATGTTATCATGCTTGGATGATAGCCAAAATTTTTATGTGGTAGTTAAAAGAAAAAGCATTAGTATCTAAGAAAAAAAGTAAAAGAATCTACCTGCTTGAGATATCGGGCTTTAGCTTGATTAATGTCGTTTAGTATTTTATCATCCACAGTGAAAACAAGCTCCTCTGGAAGTGATATATCCCGTACTTTCTCTGAACCCTGAAAACAGGGAAAAGACTTAAAAATGTTAAATCAAAAAACTGTTAAAAAAAAAAAATGGGTGTTGGAGCCGCTGCCACCAAGTCTGACGCCCGCCCACCGGACGTGCACTCCCGATTCCTTTTGGTTCTAAGTCCAAAATGACAACTCTCAAAGAGCAGATGATTCAAAATCTTCTTAAGGAAGAACATACCCCCCAGAATAAGATTACAGTTGTTGGGGTTGGTGCTGTTGGCATGGCTTGTGCCATCAGTATCTTAATGAAGGACTTGGCAGATGAACTTGCTCTCGTTGATGTCATGGAAGACAAACTGAAGGGAGAGCTGATGGATCTCCAGCACGGCAGCCTTTTCCTTAGAACACCAAAAATTGTCTCTGGCAAAGATTATAACATGACTGCAAACTCCAAGCTGGTTATTATCACAGCTGGGGCACATCAGCAAGAGGGAGAAAGCCGTCTTAATTTGGTCCAGCGTAACGTGAACATCTTTAAGTTCATCATTCCTAATATCGTAAAATACAGCCCAAACTGCAAGTTGCTTGTCGTTTCCAATCCGGTGGATATCTTGACCTATGTGGCTTGGAAGATAAGTGGCTTTCCCAAAAACCGTGTTATTGGAAGCGGTTGCAATCTGGATTCAGCCCAGTTCCGTTACCTAATGGGGGAAAGACTGGGAGTTCACCCATTAAGCTGTCACGGGTGGGTCCTTGGGGACCATGGAGACTCCAGTGTGCCTGTATGCAGTGGAGTAAACATTGCTGGTATCTCTCTGAAGAATATGCACCCTGAGTTAGGCACTGATGCAGATAAGGAACAGAAGAAAGAGGTTCACGAACAGGTGGTTGACAGTGCCTATGAGGTGATCAAACTGAAAGGCTACACTTCCTGGGCCATTGGACTGTCTGTGGCAGATTTGGCAGAAAGTATAATGAAGGATCTTAGGCGGGTGCATCCAATTTCCACCATGATTAAGGGTCTCTATGGAATTAAAGATGATGTCTTCCTTAGTGTTCCTTGCCTCTTGGGACAGAATGGAATTTCAGATGTTGTGAAGGTGACTCTGACTCCTGAGGAGGAGGCCCGTTTGAAGAAGAGTGCAGATACACTTTGGGGGAATCCAAAAGGAGCTGCAGTTTTAAAGTTTTCTAATGTACCACTTCACTGTCTAGACTACAGCAGGATTTTAGTTGGAGGTTGTATATATTGTCCTTACTATCTGATCTGTTACTCAAGTAATATTAAAATGGCCTAAGGAAAAACATCCGTTTCCTCAAGTTCCAAATAGGAATGGTTCACCAAACCCTGCAGCTGTATCCTGATGCTGGATGATACCTGGCTTTGTAGCCCTAAATTGGTTAATGTAAGTTAGCCCCACCATCTCAGAGGCTCCACTGCCAGAGCTGCGGTTGCTCTGCACACCGGATGTGTATTTACTGTGTGTTCTGTCCCTTCTGGTTCCTTCCCCCAACACCCGACATGCCTAGTCCATCTTTTCCAGTCAGTCACGTCCTGGGATCCAATGTATAAATTCAATATTGCATGTATTGTGCGTAACTGTTCTAAAGGATCTTATTTTGTGTACATATGAGAATACAGTGTACATGGCCATATAATGTAAAGACAATGCAACCAACTATCCTAAGTGTCATACCAACTAAAAGACCAAATAAATTTTGAAGAGTGAAAAAAAAAAGAAAAAAAGGAAATATTTTTCCTAACATACCTTCCATCTTCCTTCATTCTCAAAAACCTTCTCATCAACATAATGGCTGATGTTTACCATAGCCATTGCATCAAAAGGAGCGTGCTAAAATGAAAATACACAAGATTTTAAGTCAACTTAAAACTTGACCCAATATTTTATTTTCAATTTCCCTCCCCGCCAATCTTAATACATATTAAAGTGCAGAATTACAATGCCTCGCCTAAAGACAACAACACGGATATCCTGCAGCATAGTAAGTGACTGATGTATTTTATTTGCTGCAAAAGAACAAATACTTAAAGTTGGAAGCACCTAATGAAAGCAGGTGTATGTATGCAGTGCTAAGATGTTCTGAAATTTTAAGAGCACTGTGCAACAAGCAAAGGAGCATGACAGACTTTCTGAAGGCTAAACTGAGCATTCATATGAACTTTATCAGTAAACACATAGGCCACTAGGTGAGTAATCAGTTTGTGTTTCTGTCTAGAAGAGTGTTCAGATGTGGCAGAAATAATTCTCAACGTTTAAAGAATGCTGGAAAGATGGTCTGAGTTACAGGAGTATTACAGGTTTGACAGCTATACTGAGAGAAAGGAACTGGAGCTAGTGAATTTTTCCATCATTTATTCTGGAGGACAAACTTTTTGCCTTCTTTTCTCCATGTCCTTTGGTGACAATTACATCAGACAGTTTTTTTCCTCCATGTTACTGCTATCACTTTACATTAAACAGTTACCATTCATGAACTGAATGTGGCACTACCAGCCCTGGAGAGAAAGAAGGGAGGCTTGAGATACGGACTAGCATACTTGGGTCCACGTTCAGAGGAGTAAATTAGGTGTCTTAGTATTATCCTAACATCACAGAGTTCTGTTGGCCTATCTCACAGCCCAGTGGAGCCTAGAAGTATAGTATGAACACTGTTACCAACTAGATAACAGCCACAACATCAGGAAAGACTCTTGAGGGAGGTCAGAAGAAGATGCACGAGCAACTCACCCCATCTGTCCTTTGCTTTGATATAATAATGAGACTCACAGGTCATTGACAAGCCCATTCTCTAACTGCATCTTTACAATTTTACAAAGAATGTGCACAGATATCACGTATTGTTTCATTTGAGACAGTAAAATTAATTTTTTTAAAGATTTTATTTATTTGAGAGATAGCACAAGTAGGCAGAGTGGCAGAGGAAGAGGGAGAAGCAGGCTCTCCGCTGAGCAGGGAGCCGGACGTGGGGCTCGATCCCAGGACCCCAGGATCATGACCTGAGCCGAAGGCAGCCGCTTAACCAACTGAGCCACCCAGGCACCCTGTAAAATTAATTGCTAACTCTTTTACTGGACCCAGGAAGAAAGAGCAAAACTGAAGGACAAAAGTCTCTCTGTGGTAATTCTACCCACCCATCTCATGGTGGAAAGCTAGTCATCAATTTAAAGAAAAATGTTAGGAGGGCGCCTGGGTGGCTCAGTTGGTTGAGCGTCTGCTTTTGGCTCAGGTCATGATCCTGGAGTCCCAGGATCGAGTCCTGCATCAGGTTCCCTGCTGAGCAGGGAGTCTGCTTCTCCCTCTGACCCTCTTCCCTCTCATGCTCTCTCTCTCTCTCAAATAAATAAATAAAATCTTTAAAAAAAAAAAAGAAAAATGTTAGGAAATATGAAAACTTCATATGCTTTCCTGATGTTTTGTTTGTTCATATAGTTTTTTCTTTTTTTTATTTATATGGAGACAATATGTATAACATACTTTTTAGGAATGAGGGCTTCAACCCTGTGTCCAAACTCTGCCATTTCCCAGTTGTGTAACTGTTGAAGTTACTTAATTCTTTAAGTAAACAGGCTCATCTGTTAGTGGAGGTAATAATCATATAGTTGGTGTGAAAAATGATTTTAATAATGCTTATAAAGTGCTTCCTACAGAACATGGGTAATCAGCAATAATCAGTAACTGCTGTTACTATTTAACTGTTTATTATATGCTTCCTATGTGCCCTTCACAAAGCCAAATGATAAACCCTAGATGGATAAGACAAAATAGCTGACCCCAGGATTTTAAATCTCAAGAGGGAAATGTAATTAACTACTACCATAATCACAAAGTACATATTTAAGCACCAGTGGAATAGAGCAGCAACATGGCACTGCATTTAGAACAGACCAACTTTTACAGTATACGGTATACAGCTCACCCTTGAACAATGCTGACCTCCGATGCAATCAAAATCCACATAAAACTTTTCACTCCCCAGAACTAACTTAATTACTAATTGCCTACTGTTGACCAGAACATAACATCTGCCAATAACAAAAACAGTCAATTAACATGTTTTGTGTTATAAGTATTATGCACTGTATTCTTACAATAAAGACAGAGAAAATAAAATGTTATTAAGAAAATCTTAAGGAAGAGAAAATACATTTACCGTACAGTACAGGAGTAGAATAAGGCACCACACATCTCCTCATCCCCACCCAAAGTTAGCAAAGCTACCCAGGAATGTGGGAAACTTCATTTTCAAGCAGAGTCCAGGGAAAGGCAGAGAACTGGGAAAGGCAGAGCACTGTTATCCTTCTCTCTAGGTTGCTTTCTCCACCTGACTCCTCCACATGGTTTTAAATGTTTCTGCTTGTGAGAAATGCTGGCAAGCGGCTCCCCGAAGTAGTTCTCCGCTTTAGAGAAGTTTCAGTACCTCAGACAGTGCTCCTTCCTGCCTTGTGCTTTGCAGCCCACATTACTACCTGGTGTTATCCTGCCCCAAGTGTTCTCCTGGACCCCTGGGGGTGGAGGGGGGATGCAGATTATCATTCTGCAGTCCTTGGCCAACTGTGGACAATGACTGGTCTTGGCACCTCACTGAGAATCCCTCTCTAGAGTCGGTTCCTTTGCAACTTTTTGTTCAAGATCTCAGGGAACCAAACTCTGCACAGGCAGGGGGGTAAGGAGTGCCACAAGCAGGTGAGAGCCTGCTGTTCCAGCCTTCGCAGCATTTCTCCGCCACCTTGCCTTTTAGTCATTTGGCAACTTCTACCTTATTTTACAAAGTATAAAATATGCATTTATTGAAAAAAATCCATGTATTTAAGTGGACCCACACAGTTCAAACCCATGTTGTTCAAAGGCCAACTATATACACTTTACTAATGACGTTTTACATACGTTACAAGGGAAACCAACATGGGATTTTTAAAAGCAGATTATCTAGGGGAGATAATCAATTTTATAAATAAATGGGTGTTAATACATACACATAAAACATGTCCATACACTTACTACAAGAAAGATCTCATTTGTGCTGAGATATGTGTTCATTATGGGATCAATATTCTTTATTTACAGATAACAAAGATCATTAAAGTTATTTGCATCCTGAATTTAAGCAAATAGCAAGAGTTTAGTACTATTAGTAAAAATCAAAGTAGTGCAATGTGGTTTTCTTGGGCGGGGGTTGAGGGCTGGAAGTGAGGAAGGCAAGTAAGATGATGAGTTCTTGATGATGAGAACAACTGAACCTTATGTAACAATATAACATCCACTTTGGACAATATACAATGAAACAAAATTCTCAAAATGAGAATAATAGGTAAAAATTAGAGAAGAATAACTGCTCCATCAACTGATGAATGGATAAAGAAGATGTGGTATACATATACAATGTAGTATGACTCAGCCATAAAAAAGGAAAAAGTTCTGCCATTTGCAACAACGTGAATGGAGCTAGAGAGTATTATGCTAAGCTTAATGAGTCAGAGAAAGACAAACACCATATGATTTCACTCATATGTGGAATTTAACAAGCAAAACAAATAAGCAAAGGGAACAGTAAAGAGAAAGACAAAGAAACAAGACTCTTAACCATAGAGATGGTTGTCAGAGGGGAGGTGGGTGGGGGTGGGCGAAATAGGTGATGGGGATTAAGGAGTTCACTTGTAGTGAGGAGCACTAGGTGATGTATGGAATTGTTGAATCACTATATTGTATACTTGAAACTAATATTACCCTGTATGTTAACTAACTGGAATTTAAACGAAAACTTAAAAAAAAAAAAGACTAACTGCAAGCTACCTATATAATAATGGTCAATGAAACTATTAAACCAGGGAAGAGAACATGCACAGGAGGGAGAAAGTGAGACTAACATTAAGGTCAGAATCAGTAGATAGGAAAAGACCGTTAAGATGGAGGCAGTGTCGGAATACATATGAGTAGGGTAATTGTAGCAACAGGTCGAAGAGACATAAGGGAAGATGCTAGGAAGCAGTTAGCTACTTTACAAAGGATAGTTTTCCAGGAAATAGTGAGGATATAAACCAGACTGAGAAAGTCAAGAAGAATAAAAGAACTCAAGAGAAGAAAACTGAGGCAATTAACAAGAAACATTTTGTCAACAATGAACTCCAAGAGGAAAGACAACAAATCTTTAAAAGGACTCATAGCAACCTTTCACTCTGATGAGTTACTATAATAGACATCTAGTTTTATTACCTGCTCATCAACCACTTCACCTTCTGAGCTTTTGCTGTAGGCAACCACCACACATCTGTGATGGTTTGCATGAGAATGATTCTAGCCCCTAGACTGCAAGGTTTAACATGTGACTTAGGCCAGGTGAATCAGAGCACCTGACTCCTCAGAATGGGCACATGATAGACAAAGGCCAATAACAACCAGTGAGCATCATTCCTAGGACTCGTGCTGGAACCACTGGGGGGAAGGAGGGGAGGGCGGCGGTGGTAAGCTGGCCATTTGCATAGGGAACACTAATCTACGAAAGGAGCTGTGAAGACATGAGATTGTGGATACAACAATCACATGGGACATTCTACCTGAAGATGAAGTCAAACATAGGAAAGCAGTGCCAAAAAATGCAGAGAAAAATTTCTAATGAAAGCATTCGGCCACTGGAAGTCAGTCTTACCCAAACTTAGCTGTACTCCTATGCCAACAAATACCTTCTTAAACTAATGGCAGTGTAATTTAGGTTTCTATCACCTAAAACTGAATAAATACTGCTTAATACAACTATTGAGCCCAGATCAACATGACAGGTCTTTTTAGTATTGTACAGTTGCTAAATACTTCCGGAGGAAGGCCACCAAAAACAAACTACCTCATGCTACTTTATAGCCAATTACGTATTTTATGAAAGATCTTACAATGAGATTATAAGTGTATATTGCAACCTCTCATTTTTTAATTTTCTTGGTTCACAGACTTCTTGAATGTCCATCAGAAAATGGCAAGGTAGAGTTAATAAAGATGATCACAGGAGAATAAAAGAGAAACAAGTTTTTTCTTTTTTTATCAAGAAGGTAAAAAATGGTAGAAGCACCAGACACTTTAATATCTATAATGTAAATAAATGTTCCAAAGATCATGTGCCATTTTAGGAAAATAGTTAAATTACTGGGAAAATCTAGAAATATATCCACATATACTTCTCTGTGCAAAGAACACAGACATAATGCTGTATCTTTTAAAACAGGTTGTAACTCAGGCACCTGGGTGGCTCAGTCAGCTAAGCATCTGCTTTTGGCTCAGGTCATGATCCCAGGGTCCTGCGATGGAGTCCTGCATCGGGCTCCCTGCTCAGCGGGGAGTCTGCTTCTCCCTCTGCGCCCTGCTCCCCGACTCATGTTCCCTCCTGTCTTCTCCCTCTCTCTCTCGCAAAAATAAATAAAATCTTCAAAAACAATAGGTTGTAATTCTCAATAAATAGGTAACAGTGCATTTTAAAGAGCTTCATAATTCTTTAAAATCCATAACTACATAAAATACACACAAATTCCACTTTGCAGATACATACCAAACTATTAGCCATACTACAAATGAAAATAACTTGTCCTATACTCTGTTTTCACTGAGAATTCATTAACTAAAACCTTTTAGTTATAATGCCACAGAGCTACAAAAATATGTATTTATATGACCACAGAACAGCCTAGCTAGTTTAGTGCCACTAAATTAACCTAAACAATTGAAAGGAAAAATAACTTCAGTAAGTTTACTTACATCACAACTACAGCCAAATACTCCATTGGAAAAGGAAATCAAGTTATAAGATTTGTCTCCCCAGCGTACAGCTGGATCTCCTATAAGGGTCATTGTGGTTGCCTAAAATAAATACAATATTTTAAAATTAAGAGAATTCTAATATTAAGAGGGTTTAAGTATTTATATCTTATATGTATGTGTATGTATATATTTATTATATAAATGTACACACACACACGTCACTTTTCCTCTTCAGGTAAGCCAAATTTAATAAGATGATAATAATTATACTCAAGAAATAATACTAGTTCCAGCCCTGTCTTTAAATATTTCTCAAAATCTCAAGAAATCCTACCAGAAAACAGCTGGTTCAATAGTCATGGGGGTTTAGAGAACTTACAAAGGAAAAGACAAAGCTTTTGCAACTTGAATAGTCTAAGAAGCTGTGGTAAGTTTAGTCATTACAGTCTACTTATGAAGAAAATATTTTAATAATATTTTAATTTAATATTTTAATGTTAAATATTAAGATATCTTAAAAATTCATATCCCACTAAGGCTGTTTCCCACACACTCGATTTAGTATATCACAGTAAACATTCATTACAAAAGAAAAGAACAAAAGAGAATACAAATATTAGAATCTACCACAGATACTATAAGTAATTACTATTTTGTGAAACTTCTGCGTGTGTGTGTATGTAGTGGGCTGCAATCTCAACACAAGTCTAAGTAGATTCTAGCAGTAAAAGTTCAAACAACACTACATTAGAATATATTCTTCCTCAAGAAGTTTGGTAACTCTCCTACTAAAAAAACACAGCTAAGGTTATATAAAGGAAAGTTATTTCTACCTACAAGATTTTTCAATCCTGTATTATTTCTGTCATTTAATATTGATGAATGAATTATGAAATAATATAAGTGTTTTCAAAAGACTAAGAGACTTCTACAAATATGACTACTACCTTTTATTATTTCCCAGGAAATGATAATATTACCCAGGGTGGGTGGGGGAGGGGAAACAAAGTAAGGCCACATTTACTCTTAAACTCACTAAAGTCTGTTTGTTAATAAAACTAAACGCTAAAATAAATAACTTATAAGAGTGCTATAATTCTTAGGACAGACCCCACCAACCAAGATGTCAAGACACACTGGTGTGGGTTATAGGAAGGTTCTCATGCCACCTTTGGCATGGTAAGTTCATTTAACCCAGTGTCCTATGCAAATTTTCTGTACATGCAAACAATAGTCATACCTCTTTAAACAATGTTCAAGATATATCTAAATTACCTAAACAATGAAGCCAGAATTTAGAAAGGATTATTTATGTATAAGGTTCAATTTGGTACATATATATGACAGCTATGTAAAAATTTTAAGAGACCGCATGTAACAAATAATCTTCTCATCTTCTGTATACAGAAGAGTCTTCCAGAATTATTTGTGAGGAGAAATAGCAGAGCAAGATAGTTACGTACCTGAGAATAATCTTCTGGTGTTACATGTGGACTGCTATCCTCTATGGTATATACCAATAAACTGCTTTGAATTTTTTCTAATATAGTCAAGTTCTCTGGATCAAGACTAATCAAATATTCTCGTGCCTAATGGGCAAAGAGTTAATGATTAAATGTTACAAATTAAGTATATCCAGAAAATCTCAAAATAGTTCGTTAGGGAAAAGGTTCATTAAGGAAAGTGTAAACTGCTATCTGGAAGTAGAGCATTCCTAAGCCAAAATGGTATAAAGCAAAGAAGCAATTACTATTAATTTATATGGAAAAATGTTTAAACATTCCTGGGCCCAAAAAATAACCTCTCTTAGAGGCTTTACTGATAACGTAGGACACATTTTGGTAGAGGATGTACAAATAAAGTGAGATACAGCACAGATGTTCAAAGCTTGATGCTGAGATAGTGAGGGTAGCTCCTGGGGAAGGAGCTTGGTGCTGCCGACCTTGCTGCTCAGGGAGCATGCAGTAAAAAAAAAAAAAAAAAAAAAAAATGCTGAACACTATTTTTGCTTTTTGCCTTTTTTCATAAAAGCAAAAATCCTCTTTGGGTTTCTTTCAATGAGCAAAAACAGGTACTAATGTAGGTCCTTTGTGAAAAGTGAAGTGGCATAACATAAACTTTAAAATGTGGCAGATACCTTTAAAGTTAATAATGTTGTATTACATATTTGAAAACTGTTAATAGAATACATATTTTTTAAAAAAGATTTACTTATTTATTTATTTGAGAAAGAGTGAGCGAGACAGAGAGCACGAGCCAGGGGAGGGACAGAGGGAAAGGTGGAAGCAGACTCCCCACTGCTCTGAGCAGGGAGCCCCACATGGGGCTCAATCCCAGAACTCTGGGATCATGACCTGAGCCACCCAGGTGCCCCTAAAATACATCTTAAAAGTTCTCATCACAAGAAAAAAATTTGTAATCATATGAGATGATGGATGTTAACCAGATTTATTGTAATCATTCTGCAATATATATATACAAATATCTAATCATTATGTTGTATACCTGAAACTAATAATTTTATGTCAAGTATACCTCAATTAAAAAAACAAAGAGGGACAACTAGGTGGCTCAGTTGGTTGAGTGTCCAACCCTTGATTTTGGCTCACGTCATGATCTCAGGGTCATGGAAACGAGCCCCACATCGGGTTCTGTGCAGAGTCGGCTTGAGATGCTCTCTCTCCTTCTTCTGCCCCTCTGCCTATTCGTGCTCTCTTTCTCTAAAAAATAAATAGATAAAATCTTAAAACAATGACAACAAAAGGAAACCATATAACCTTAGCCCATTGAGTTCGCTCCTCACTAGTCAATGCTGCTATCCCAGGTCCATCAGGTTCACTATGGCACTTCTTGTGAATGTAGGTCAACTGCCTTAGGGAAGATTAAAAAAAAGAGTATTTAAAAAGAGCATAGGCAGGATTACTAACTACTTTTAGCCTTTAATAGGTCATAATATTTATCAGTACTTATATGTTTTTATATATTACCCAAAGAAAGGTATAATGATCTCAACAGCAATGGATTTATTTCCCACACATCTTTTTTTTAAAAAAATGTGTACGTGGCCTATTAACACAAAAGTATATTAGACAATAATTTAAGTAAATAAATTGGCTGTTTGGCTAGTATTATTTATACTTTCAAAATATACTTGTACTTCTGGTGTCCAAGTAAAAGTACCCCTTATAATAAATACCCCTTATAATAGAGAACTTGAAAAATATTCTGGTAAATAATATTACAAATATTATGCATATCTTATCTAACTAAAAACTATGTGCCTATATATTTAACAAAGGAATTACACTCTATCTGATTAATATTTGTGTGCAACCCCAAAAACAGAAGTACTATGTAGTCAGTTTTAAATGTTTTCACATTTGCTATTACTTATAATTGTTATATTTTAAAGACTCCATTAGATATAGACAAAGCATTTTCTCCCAAAGTACTCTATTCTCCCAGTCTGATGAGTTTCATGTATCTTTAAGCAGATGACAGGTAAATAACAGGGTTCTTCAACAAAGACATACGTTTTCATCGGACAAAAATCCACAGGTTTCACAAAGACAACAAAAGCACAGACAACATAAGTAAAAATAGACAAATGGGATGACATCAAACCAAAAGCTTCTACCCAGTTAACAACAAAATTAAAAGGCAACCTACAGATTATGAGAAAGTATTCGCAAGCCATTTATCTGATAAGAATATCCAAAATATTTAAGGAACCCCTACAACTCAATAGCAAAAAAAACCAAATAATCTGATTAAGAAATAGGCAAAGGAACTAAACAGACATTTCTTCAAAGAAGACATAAAAATGGCCAGCAAATACATGAAAAAGTACTCAATATGACTAATCATCAGGGAAATGTAAATCAAAACCACAACAATATATCACCTCACAGCTATCTGGATGATTACTACCAGAAAGATCAGAAATAAGTGCTGGTGAGGCTGTGGAGAAAAGAACTCCTGAGCACTGCTGAGGGGAGTGTAAACTGATGCGGCCACTATAGAAAACAATATGGAGGTTCCTCAAGAAATTAAACATAGAACTACTTTATGATCCAGCAATCCCAATTCTGGGTATATATCCAAAGGAATTGAAATCAGGACCTTGAAGAGACATCTGCACTCCCATGTTCACCACAGCATTATTCACAATAGCCAAGAGGTGGAAGCAACTTAACTATCTGTTGACAGATGAATGGGTAAACAAAGTGTACTAAAGATACACACACACACAACAATGGAATACTATTTACCCTTAAAAAAGAAGGCAATCTTCACAGCTATTTGGATGGTTATTATCAGAAAGAGAACAGGAAATTAGGAAAGAGTTAACTTTGTGGTGAAACGTGAATAGAGACATAATGCATGAGAAAGAATGCTTGCTTATTCAAAAGGTGGCCAAGGCAGAAAGGGCATTCCAAATAGAAAGTATGAGGACATGCAAAGATTACAGATAATCTAATGTGCTTTAAGAATTGCTAACACAGAGGACTTTCCAAGATGGCGGAGGAGTAGGAGACCTTAGTTTCGTCTGGTCCCTGGAATTCAGCCAGATAGCTATCAAATCATTCCAAACACCTGTGAACTCGACCGGAGCTCTAAGAAAAGAATTGCTGCAATTCTGCAAATAGAAAAGCGACCACTTTCTGCAAGGCAGGAGGTGCGAAGAATTGAATCTAAGGAGATACATAGGAAGATAAACCATGGGAGGACGAAGATTCCATCAGCTGGCACCAGAAAGTGATACAGCAGCAGAGCACAAAACACTAACTTTTAGAAGTCTGCTCTGGTGAGGGCACCCAGGTGGCGAAGCAAGGTGGAATCCTAGGTGGGACAGTGTGGTCTCAGGGACCCTCGGGGTCACAGGAAGACCGGGGGTGCCTGAGTGCAGCAGAGTTTCCAGGTATCGGAGCGGGGAAGCCGGCTATAATCAGCTAGCCCAGGAGTGGGCTTTCAGCTCAGGATTGCCATAAACCATGAATCATGGCATGAAAAAGCGACACATCATTTGGCATCAGGGAAATACAAATCAAAACTACAATGATACCACGTCACACCAGTCAGAATGGCTAAAATTAACAAGTTGGGAAATAAGAGATGTTGGTGAGGATGTGGAGAAAGGGGAACCCTCCTACACTGTCGGTGGGAATGCAAGCTGGTGCAGCCATTCTAAAAAACAGTATGGAGATTCCTCAAAAAGTTGAAAATAGAGCTACCCTATGACCCAGCAATTGCTGTACCAGGGATTTACCCCAAAGATACAAATGGAGTGATCCAAAGGGGCACCTGCACCCCCATGTTTATAGCAGCCATGTCCACAATAGGAAAACTATGGAAAGAGTCCAGATGTCCAACAACAGATGAATGGATAAAGAAGATATGGAATATATGTACAATGGAATATTACTCAGCCATCTAAAAAAAATGAAATCTTGTCATTTGCAACAATGTGGATTGAACTAGAGGGTATTATGCTAAATGAAATAAGTCAATCAGAGAGAGATAATTATCATATGATCTCACTCATATGTGGAATTTAAGAAACAGAACAGGATCACAGGGGAAGAGAGAAAAATAAAACAAGAGGAAATCAGAGAGGGATACAAACCATAAGAAACTCTTAATTATAGGAAACAAACTGCGGGTTGCTGGAGGGGAGGGGGGAGGGGGGATGGAGTAACTGGGTGATGAGCATTAAGGAGGGCACGTGATGTAATGAGCACTGGGTGTTATATAAGACTGATGAATCACTGAACTCTACCTCTGAAACTAATAACACACTAAATGTTAATTAACTGAATTTAAATTTAAAAAATAAGTAAATAAAACTTTGTTCATACCCTCAAAAAATAAAAGTTTTAAGCTAAGGAAATCAGTTTTATAAATAAAATGTTCGGTAATGATAGAAATTATAACGAAATTACACACATCTGAAATATTTCATTTTTTCTGTAAATAGGTAATTATAATACCATATTGTATCTGTCTGCTGTAGCATTTTTTTTTAAAGATTTTATTTATTTATTTGACAGAGAGAGAGTGCGAAAGAGCACAAGCAGGGGAACTGGAAGGCAGGGGAGAGGGAGAGGCAGGCTCCTCGAGGAGCAAGGAGCCCAGATGTGGGGTTCAATCCCAGGACCCTGGGATCATGACCCGAGGCGAAGGCAGATGCTCTACCGAATGAGCCACCCAGGCGCCCCTGTCTGCTGTAGAATTTGTCAATCTTTTGACTTTTTCAGAAAAATGAAGGAACAGTTTGCACAATGGGAGGCAAATGTCAGATCCCTTTTCTGCCGCTGTCATATAAATTTTTATTTCTGTTAAGTTATATGAATGAATAACTCATAAAACATTAAATGAGATATTGTTTAAATTGTTTTGACTTTAAGCAGCTGAGGTAAAATTACGTTACTGCCTCCTGTAAAAAAAAAAAAAAAAAAAAGAAAGAAATGCTAACACAGATGTGATAGGAATAGAAGTTGCACGAGGAAGAAGAAGAGGACACAAGGCTGAAACGACAGGCAAAGGTCAAACTTAGACCACTGCGGAGAAACCGGGACTTTATTCTAGACCACAAAGAACCATTTAAGAATTTTAACCAAAGGTGAGACAACCATCATATTTAAATTTTAAAGCCATAGACTGATAGTCATAGACTATGTATTTAAATACATATTAGCTATAAAAAAATACATTCTTTTTTTTACAAATCTTTATGTGCATATAAATCCATTACAACAGATGGAAGGATAGAATATACCAAACTAGTAAGAGTGATTAATTCTGGGGCAAGAAATGGAAATTGTATTATTTGCAATGTTTTCCTTTTTCTCCAAGTAGAATATATTCATATACATCTAGTAAAAGTAAAAATTAATTAAAACTAGAAATAAAATAAGGGCGCCTGGGTGGCTCAGTCAGTTAAGCGTCTGCCTTCGGCTCAGGTCATGATCCCAGGGTCTCAGCATCGAGTCCCGCATCAGGCTCTCTGCTCAGAGGGGAGCCTGCTTCTCCCTCTGCCCCTCCCCCTCTCTCTTGCTCGCTTGCTCTCAAATCTTTTAAAAAATAAAATAATAAAATGAAATGAAATAAAAATAGACTTCTTAAAAATCAGCATACATAAAATTCTTATTTAGCTTACTCTCACCTTATGAAAAAGGAAATTCTTAACATTTATTTTTTAAACTCAAGCAAAGGCTTAACACCTCAAGACTCAAGAAAGTAGTTTGAGAACCTGTAAATTTCTGGGGGGGTGATCAAACATCCTTCATGAATTACATCAAAGACAAAAACTCGGCCTCGACAAAGCACTGCAATGTGAGTTGGGGAATGTCCTTCACTCTCTGGAAAAAGAAACAAACACAAACTCAATCTCTCAAAATTAAACAAGAGTAAAACTGCATATTTACATCCATAGAAGAAAATAATTCTTGCTCCAATACTTGACATATACTCATCAAATATATCCTATGAACAATAAGGTGATAAACTTTCAATTATGATATAAATATACACTCTTGAAAACTGTCCATGTGAAACATCCAAAATCCATGGAGTTTCAAGTATTAGCAAGGAATCCTGGAGAAGAGCTTTTTGAATTACTAAGTTTGTCTTTGGGTTTATTTCAATGTTGACTGTTCATCAGATAATTTAACTGCAGTAATATCTAGCGATGGTTTCTAAATAAAACAGTTTTCATTTGAGGGGCACCTGGGTTGCTCAGTCGGTTAAGCGGCTGCCTTTGGCTCAGGTTATGATCCCAGGGTCCTGGGATGGAGCCCCGCATTGGGCTCCCCGCTCAGCGGAGAGCCTGCTTTTCCTTCTCCCTCTGCCTGCCACTTTGCCTACTTGTGCTCTCTCTCTGTCAAATAAATAAAATCTTTAAAAAAAAAAAAAAAGTAGTTTTCAGTTGAGAAAGGGCACTGTTTGCCTGAGTGGCAAGGAGAATGAGTGGCAAGGAAATCTAGTTTTACTTAAGGCTCTAATGATACCTGGTAAGCCACTGGTAACTTATTCTATGATTCTTGGGCATGCCTTAACTCCCCAAGAACTACTACTTTGCTGTAAATCTCAGACTATTCTGATTTAGCCTCATTTTTCAATTATTATTCCCTTTAACAAAGGGCTTCCTATATGATCCCTGCTCCTTCCCTCTAAGAAAAAAGAAAAAGAGAAGACATATACTACCAATGGAAGGAAATTTACTGGTTGATATCATGTACAAGGAACTGTGGTAAAGGCTTTGCACACATTATCTCATAAAATCCATCAACTATGAGGAAACACCATCTCCTGACAGCACTTTTTTTCTCTAATATCCTATCTCCTCAAGTCCTAGGAGGTGTGGTATGTATTTTTCTTGTCTTTCATGGCTATTTCCAAAACATTTCTTCTCTTTCTCCTTCAAAAACCTCCGTATCTTTTTACATTTAATACTACTACTTTTTTTTCTTTTTGCTATCATTATACTGACCAGGTCTTAACAGGTCTGGGGACCAGAAGTCTGAAATGTGTCTCAGTAGGCTAAAATGAAAAGTGTCAGCAGCTCTGTCCCTTCTGGAGACTCTAGGGCAGAATCAATTTTCTTCACTTTTCCAGCTTCTAGAGGCTACCCACAGTCCTGAACTCAGGACTCTCCTCTTCCATTCGAAAGCCATCAAGGGAGGTTCACGACTTTCCATCAATTTGCTGTCATTAATTTGGTTCTCTCTATGCCTCTCTCTTCACTTATAAGAACCCTCATGATTACTTTGTACCCACATGAATAACCCAGAATAATCTTCCCATGTTTAGGTCAACTGATTAACAGCCTTAATTTCCTCTGCAAACTTAACTGCCCTTTACCATGTAACCTAAAACATTCAACAGGTTCCAAGGATTAGAAAGTGAACATCTCTGGGGGGTGGGGAGGCATTATTTCGCCTAACAGATAGGCTAGTAAATTTAGTGATGGAAAGAATGCTTTACACTTGTTGAGAATAAGAGTTCATTAGCTGAGAATAAGGAAGGAGAAAGGCATGAAACAGTATCTCTGGAAGTGAGAGAATAACATGACAAAACAATATGGCAAGGTCATGCTGTGGATCCATTTGAGGTTTGAGAAAACTAAATGAGGTTTTCTGGTTTTCTCAGGCCAAGTAAAATTGCTAGGGTAGGTATCTTTAATATGTAGAGGCAAGAGAGAAGATGAAAATTAGACCATGATGAGGTGTGGGTAGAGTGATGAGGGAGCAAGTGGGCAAAGATCTGAATGTGTATGCGAAGGAGTGATTATAGTGAAGGAGCACAGAAAGAAGTACAGATTGGGGGTGGAGGAGGGAGGAATGGAACTGTGAAGAACTGTAGCATAACTCAATTTAAGTCACAGTGTGTTCAAAGAAATAGCTAAGGTAGACTACTAAAGGAAGTGAGTTATGAGGAGAAGGTGGAGATCAGAATGAGATGCTTATAATTTCTATGTTAGAGGACATGGAGTTTTTTATAATAACAAGTTCTAGGGCATGACCACAGGAGTGTGTGGTTGCTTGAGAAGGAGTGGAGGTACAGATTACTAGAGGAAAAAAGTGAAGGAAAGGAGAGGTCATGGATCATCTACAAGTGGAAGCTAAAGTCATCAAGAATGTGAATGGGGGGTGGGTGGTGGCTGCCTGGGTGACTCAGTTGGTTAAGCCTCTGCCTTAGGCTCAGATCATGATCCCAGGGTCCTGGGATTGAGCCCTGCATCGGGCTCCCTGCTCAGCAGGGAGCCTGCTTCTCCCTCTCCCTCTGCTGCTCCCCCTGCTTGTGCTCGCTCACTCTCACTCTGTCAAATAAATAAATAAAATCTTAAAAAAAAAAAAAAAAGAATGTGAAGGAGGTAGTGATGAAAAGATAGTGAGACTGGTGATAAAGCAATGGGGGAATTCTACCTCAGAAACTAATAATACAGTATATGTTAAATTGAATTTCAATTTAAAAAAAAATTTTAAGAAGTAAAGGAAAAAAACCCCACTACAACAAAGACAAGCACTGGTGACATAACCTGATAGCTTTCTTTTTTTCAAGAGCTCCAACTGTAAGGAAGAAACGAAAGGGGCAAGGGCGACCGGAAATAAAAAGGACACCAACATCTCCTACATACCCTTTAGTACCACAGTATGAGAAAAAATATACCCACTTCAGATGGTTATAGGGAATGCAGTAAGCTCAAAGAATAGCCAGCTTCAGTAATAGTACCTTTCACAGGGAAACAGGAACTCTCAGAGAAAAGGTTGAGGATATAAAGGATTTTGCTGACCATGAGCTCCAGAAACTATAGCAGAAGAGTCTGGGAAACGGAGCAGGGTGGGTCACAGTAGTGGGAAACTTGGATCAAATTAGGCTACGCACAAATCCCTGAATCTAGATAAGAGAGGACCTGAGAGGTTGAACTGCTCAGGCAAAATGAGGTTAACAGGGTAAAAGGCAGGACTGAATTAGTCTTAATGGTCTCTAAGTGGGTAAGTCAAATAAAAATAGTTTTAAGTACTGCCTCCTTAATGACATTATCCTCTTAGCCAGAGAGGCTTACATGCTGCCTTCACATGCATTACCTCTTCAATTTTCTCTGTTCGAAGATAGATACCATGGCCCAGCATTTTAATTTCTTCCTTGCAAAACCCTTGAATCCTTCACTCTCTACTCTATGCCTGCCTGATTGTTGCTGAAGAAAAAAACAACATACCGCCTAATCTAACTTTAAATTCATAAACCCACCATTTCAAATGGGCACTCAACACTCATCAGCTACCCTGCATTCCCCTAGCACATCTGCTTCTCCCACTTTCCAAAATGACTGGTATTTTATTTTTTTTTTAAGAAGATTTTACTTATTTATTTATTTTGAAAGAGAAAAAGAGAAAGCAAGCTCAGGGAAGGGTAGAGGGAGAGAGAGAAAATCTCAAGCAGACTCCACGCTAAGCGTGGAGCCCAACGTGGGGCTCCACCCCACGACCCTGATCATGACCTGAGCCCGAAATCAAGAGTCAGATGCTTAATCGATGGAGCCACCCAGGCACCCTCCCAAAATGACTAGTATTTTAAACCTTCTTTCTCCTCTAATCTTCTACCCCAGCTAATGACCTCAGTTCTCATTTCACCAAGGAAAACACAAAGAATACATAGACCTCATCTTCCCACAACAAAATTGGCCCATCGATTTGCATCTAGATGCACTTTCTGCATTCCTTCTCATCCTTGCTCCTGTCAAAGACCAGCCCTCCACCGTTTCTACTCCTGACCCTCTCAGCTCTTATCCTTTCAATGACTTTGGCTGTTTATTCTTTCCCCTGAAAGATTATTTTTCTTTCTCTCCTATGTCATTCCTGTGTTATGGTATCACTCATTTTTTTTTAAATTAAATGAAGTCCCTCCCACTGCACATCAAAACTTTTTCCGTAAGCATTATTTCCAAATGTTGTCACTAATTATTTGGTTTGCTTTCACCTCCTCCAGTTGATCTCCCTTCCCCAACTTGCACTGAGACTGCTCTTGTCAGGGCAGGCTCTGTCCACATCATGTCGATAAATACAATGGTCACTTTTAATTTTTATCTGATTTGGCTTCTGGAACATGTGACACAACACTTTCTTCTCTTGGCTTCTGGGAGACCACTGCCCTTCCTTTCTTCCCACCTTGGTCTCTTTTCTGTGTTCTCCTCTTCAGGAGGTATTCACCAAATACCCTATTTAACTGTGGTAAGATTCAGTACTGGTTCCCCTGATAATCTTCATCTGTATGTGTTACAAAAGTAACTTTAGCTACTCTTATGCCTTTAAAAATGTTTTCTATGCCTACTAATGGTGATTCTTAAATCTCTATATGCAGTACTGAAATCTCTCCTGAACTCCCAACTTTGTACCCAACTGCCTACCTGCATTTCCACTTCAGATGTCTAAAAGGCATCTTAAATTCAACATAGCCATTAAGGGAGGACCTCTTAATTTCCTCCCTAAATATTTCCTCCCAAAGTTTCCCACCTCATGAACCAACACAGCTATCTATCCCATTACTCAAGCCAAATATCTTGAAGTCATCTCTGATTCTCCTTTTTCTCTCTCATCTCACAACCAATCTATGAATAATTCTACTAAATCCAAATCCAAAATATACAAAGAATCTAACAACTTTTTACCAGCTTCATGCTATCACCCTAGTTACGAGTCATTATTATGGCTCTCTTGGACTGCTGAAACAATTTTCTAACTGATATCCCTCCTTCTACCCTGGTATGTTCCTAAAAATCTTATTCCTCAAATGGCAGGTAGAATCATCTTTTTAAAACATAAATCTGATCACACCACTTTCTTTCTCAAAACTCATTATCTATTCACATTTTAAATAAAAGCCAAAAACCTTAGTTGGCTTACAAAGTACTATATGATCTAGCCTCTAGTCAACACTCCAAGAGTCCCCTCTGCCTCCTGCCTGCTCTGCTCCATCCATATTCCCCTGCAAACATGCCAGCCAAGTTTATTCATGCCTAGGGGATTCCCTCAACACATAAAACAACAAACTGAATAAATGAAAACAAAAATAAAAAGCCAAAAAACTGCTGGATCATCGTATCATTCACATCCTCAGGTTTTCCCTACCTAATCTAAAATAGCCATCCAGTTACTGTTATTTGAATTCTCTATACAGTATTTATCAGTAACTCTGTTATTTTTTTGTTTACTTATTCCCTCAGCTTTGTCCCTATCTACACCTCTTCACATGGTCTTAAGTACAAGAAAATACTAACCATGACAGCTTAAAGGACTGCATTAGGAGACACATTATTAAATTAATGAATCTGCATTTTACACGCTGTAACATAAAGGATTAGCTTATCTAAGGACCTATGAAGTGATAAAGATTAAACTGAAAACCAGGTCTATTGATATTAGATCCTAAATGATAGGCATATTTCTCTCTTTGCTAACTGCTATTCTCCATTTTCTCCTGTTCATCTTTTCCATTCATATTTGGGCATTAAACTTTATGCCATAAATAATCAGGTCTTTCACTTGCAACATCAAGATAAATGTGAGTGGGCTTGAGGACATTAAATATCTCAAGCATCTAATGAGGTTTACAAAGATGAGTTCTACATGAAAGTAAACTCAAACTCCCCACACTACAAGCAAAACTGGCTACAGAAATTTTACTTTTAAATGAAGAAAAATATCTTTCCCTAATTACATTCCACAGTAACTATAAACTACATTATTAAATTTATAAAAAAGAAAAAGATCCTGAAATAACTGAAAACCAGCACTTACAAAAGAATTTTCCCATTTTAGGATATGCTAGTACACCAAGCAGAATTTGCCATTAAGCTGACAGTAAAAACAGGAACTTTGATGAGTCATTCTGAATTCATATGCCTTCAAGAAGACCGATAGCAAGCTCTCACCTCATATGCCTGGGGGTGAAAGGGAGGGCATACTCACAAAGAGAAATGGGGCATGATAAGCACAGACAAGCACACTCAAAAAGAGAATTCAAAGAAGAGGGCAAAGACAGACAAATCCAGATCCTATGCTCCAGATTTCCTAATACTGATTAATAATGCTCTGTAGAACTTAAACTCTCAAATCACACAACGTAAGCATCAGGTTTTGTACAGAACGATTTAAGACCAGTTTATAAAATCCATTCCCATAAATTATTTCTGACTAACCACAATGACTAAAAGGTTCACAGAAAGCCTGATTAGTCAAAATCCAGTAAAGAAATATTCAAAATAGTATGTTCCATAGTGTCATAGAAACTGCAGCAAAACTACCCAAATCCCAATGCCTTTACCAAAACAAACAAACAACCAAAAAACACTACACCCATGTTTTCTACTTACCAGTCCTAAAATAACTCGTAATTGAATCTCTAGTAATTCCTGGAATCCTGCAGGTGGAAAACAGCATTCGGAATTGATTCATATCCAGAGGACTATTTCCAGATTTATCAACAGGCACTTTTTCCCTATTACAACAAACGAAAAAAAAGTATTTTGATCAACAAGTCATTATAAAACTTATAAACCAAGTAGTATCAACTGTAGTATCCTCACATAAGTAAATTAAGCTTCTCAACATTTTGCCACTTCAAACTTTGGGTAAATCTGTTACTAAATTCACATAACTGTCCTTACTTTCTTAATAGCTGCCAGTAGTTGAAGTTATGCCAAAGACTTATACTTCCTCTTTCCAACTGAGTGCCTTCCTTTGGAGGCCAGTAGTGTTCAATATGGGCTGCAGGACCAGCAAAATTGACATTCAGTTGCGATGGTAAGCGAACATCCAGATAGGCACAATTCAGCCACCATTCTTCCAGCTAAAAGAAATTAAGAATATCAACCTAATGCTACTGAGAATACTTGAATGTATAACTGCAAGAAAAAAAAAAGCTTTATTTGTTCTTTTCTCTTTACTCTTTAACACTTAAAAACATGTTTTCTTACCCACATCCATTGTATACTAACAACGGATTTTATTATACATAAATTTTACCTTAGTAAGTTTGTTCCGAAAGCAAAAAAATTAAGAAATAAAAACATGGTTTCTTGTTTTAAATCATCATAGATATTGAAAAATGCTATTGTGATCATTTCTTGTTTTTGGAACTACAGGATCTTAAATACTATTCAGCTTAACTACACTATCAAAAACAGGCAACAAGAAAGCACTGAAAAGGCATCTTTTCAGACGGATCATATTGGAGTCACAAATACCAAACTAAGTACTTAGGTGTGTTTTCCCAGAGCACCTTGGGTAAATAAATATAAAACAAATCCTCACCTAATTTTAACAACTATTAAGGCATTCGCAATTACCCTTTTCCAAGCAAAAACTGAAATACTAAATCAAAAATATAAAACCTTTTCAGTACACTTAAAACTAATTTAGATTTTTCAGAGCCAGAGCTTTATGTGTCCCTCTTTTACAACATGCAATTGAATTTCATGCGTAAGTAAGCAGATCTCATCAAACTATCTGGAGTTATTTTTTAAGAAACTGATGTTATAAACTATAATCAATCATTCAGAAAAAGAAATAAGCAAAAGGATACAGACTTCTTTACCTTTACCCTGATTTAATTAAAATCACTCAAGTCTCAAGATTGAGAATAAGGGAATCTGGAAGTAAAAAATTTTATTATTCCATCATAGGTTATCAATGACTAATGGAAAGATCAGCTTCCTTTTTATTTCTAAAACTTAAGAGAAAAAAACTTAAAGATAGCTACTCCTGATTTCTAGATTAAGGCAATGTTTTTTAATTATAAAAACTTATCCTCCGGTTCATACTACAGAAGTAATTAAGCTGAAGAAGTCAAAGATTCCCTGTAGGAAATTATTGAGTGCCTCAGTAATTACTATACCAACATCTCCCCTTCAATCTATCTAACTGAAACACATAATACTCATAACCATTCTCCACTCCAATTTTGTAATGGCCCTTTCTCTCCCATATGATGTTTAAATATTTGTATGCCACCTACGTGATAGGTCTATTTTTAGTGTCTGGAGTTTTTTCAGGCTGGGATTACCTGAACAAAATGTTTCTCACAAGCAAGGTCTACAGATTACCTCCATCAGAACTACATGGGACAGCTGTTAAAATAAGGGTTTCTGGGCCCCCATTCAGAATCACTGGTCCCAGGAAACCTGTATTTTGACAAGTTCCCCATATAAGAAAAGAGCTCACACACAACATTCAAAACTCCCTAGAGTTAAACAATTCATTAAGTCTTTTAGATGACTATAACAATGACTGAAAGGACATTTACACTAATAATTTTAAAATAAAAGCTATTCACATTTTTATTTTTCATTCTTTAGGCATCATCAATTTTCTAATTCTAGGTACAATAACATAAATACCCAATTTCTTTTTCCTTTTGCCCTTTCAAGTAATTTCTGGTGCAGTTTTCTTCCAATATCATCTTGAAATTTTTGGACAGTTTCTTTAGTTCTTTTGTATTCTTCTTTATTTGCAAACGGCTTTACTATAAGGAAAAAATATGCGTTAAAATATTTAGACATCAAGTACCACAAACTCACCTCCACTATTACACAAATAATGTAGACTCAATTATGTAAAACAATTATGTATGCATTATCATAGCACTCCAATAAATCATAGAGTTTACAACATGAAAATGACTGAAAAGCAACATAGCAAAATGCTGTAAAAAAAAAATTAAACAGTGGATACTATGTAATTTGATAACCGTTAAAATCATTCTGGATGATGACAGTTAAAATGATAAAGACTGGACTATCCTCTAGCTATTGGTCCAACAGAGAAGTAAATCCTGTTTAGCAATGAATAAGAGAAATTAGAGCTTGTTTCCAACTAATGTTCAAGCAGAGCCTTGAACATCATGTATGTAAATGCAATACGTATGTAAATTTAAGTATAAAGCCTGTCCAGAATCAATAATGGTTTCCTTCCCCAAAAAGGGGGGAGGGGATAGGGGTTTCTAGTCCATGAAAATGAAAACCAACTGTTCTGAAAATTAAGCTACAGACAAAAGTCAATTAGTAATCAAAGGACATTAATATCTTCCTTCTGCTTTGTCTCTTCAAAGTACTATCTTAAAGTCAATTTAAATAGCTGTATTTAGAAAAACTACAAGCGAAATGAATAATAAAATACAGCAAATAATCAGTAAAGTTTTTAAAAAAGAAACTAGAATTCCCAGATAAAAGTAAATGAGGAAAAAAAGGAAGAAATTTTAAAAATATCAGAGGACTTTCATTTAAACTAAGTGAACTAAATGCATACATTTATCTCTAATCCTTCTAGAAGCTCACTAAAATGACAGTAATTAAAAAGGCATAAATCTATAAGGACAAAGAATGTGAAAGGAGAGGGCAGCAGACCAGTTAAGCTAACATTTCACACGTTAGAAAACAGATGAGAAAATGGTAACTGAATTTGTAGAATGGAGAAAGTTAATATCTAAAGCCTGGAGAGTGGAAGGTAAGAAAAGACAAGGTAGGGTTAAGTGCAAACCAGGAAGCAAGCCAATGCCTGCAGTAGAATCCCAGAAAGGTTAAAAAATTCAAGGCAAATGGACTTCCAAAGGGGGCAAAGAGAGACTGAAAACGGGTTGCTTAAAAGTGTTCAGAAGCAGCAGACAACAGTCGCATCCACACCCACACCACTCTGGAAAGCCAGGCAACTTCCTACCAACACCAGTAGAAATCTAGAGTTCTACTCTTAGGACAAATTGAACCAGAGAAGCAGCATAAATAGATCCTAACCCATATTGAAAAAAAGAGAGATTATAATCAAAGTGTACACCCAGAACAATAAGCCTTCCAGCCTCCTTCCCCTAGTTAGCTCCCAAAACACTAGATATCAGGTTCACGCCTTCTAAATAAAAGAGGACTCTTCTCTGGGGAAACGGATCAGTCCAAGAGAAGTATGACTGATATCTGGGCATGCTCTGGTGGAACTGCTAGATCTCTGCAACAAGGCTCACTAGAAGGCCCACTGGTCACCAAGCCCCTACCCATGCACACAGAATTCTCAATCCGCTTTTTAGGGCCTTTTAAAAATGAATGACTAATGATTGCCAGATATTTGAGGAAAGCCTCTCACATGAGAATCAAAGAGCAGAATAAGCAAAAACAGGATTGGTGACACCCAACAGTAAATAGACCAGAAAGGAAAAGGCACTAATAATGAGGGAAATAATTTTTTAATCAAAAGCTTAGTCCAGAACACCCCAGATCCAATTAACAGGAGTTCCGGAAAGAGAGGGCAAAGAGAGGAGGAGAAAACTATCCAAGAAAAAGTATTTTGAAAATTTCCTAGAATTACATGAATTTTTTTAAACTTCAAAGAATCTACTGTATATTCAGAGAAATAAATGAAAAAATCTATACACTAAGGGACATCAAGAAGTTCAGAATGGTAGGGATAAAGAAAAAGGTTTCCAAATACATCCAGAGTGTAAAAAACAAGTCACAAATAAAGGATCAAACAGAATGGCATCTCAGGAGGAACAAACAGTACCTTCAAAACTCTTAAGAAAAATCATTTCCAACCCAGAATATTTTATACTCAACCAAAAAATCAAGTACGAGGATAGAATAAAATTTTAAGTCTTACATTCTTTCCTTTCCAGAAACACTTTTTCTCAAGTAGCTACTGAAGATGCACTTCACAAAAAAAGTGAAAAGAGGAAGAAAAAGAAAGACAGGAACCAGGGAACCCAACACAGGAGAGAGAGGTAAAAAGAACTGCCAGAGATGGGGGAAGGAAAGCTCCAAGGTAACAGCTGTCCAGCCAACTCAAGAAAAGTAAACACTAATTGGAGCAAAAGGGGAGAGGGTCCCAGGAGGGATGTCTCCAAGAAATGAAACTGAGAGAATAGCTTATGTATATAATGTATAGGTACTTATCTACATACATATTATACATCATGTATATAATGTAGTCAGGAATTTTCAGTGTATTGAAGTATTTGGGAGTGAATTACTTAAGGATACAAAGCAAAATAAGCAAATGAAAAATGAGCAAAACAAAACAATGCCATAAAAAGGCATTCAAGGGGCGCCTGGGTGGCTCAGTCGTTAAGCGTCTGCCTTCGGCTCAGGTCATGATCCCAGGGTCCTGGGATCGAGCCCCACATCAGGCTCCGGAAGCCTGCTTCTCCCTCTCCCACTCCCCCTGCTTGTGTTTCCTCTCTCACTGTCTCTCTCTGTCAAATAAATAAATAAAATCTTTAAAGAAAAAAAAAAAGGCATTCAAAGTACACTGAATGGCTCTCTTGTGAATAACTGCATTAACGATAAACCCTAGATGGTCAGGTAAATTAACTCAGGTACATACTGATTTAAATCAGGTGAAACCTGGAATTAAATCAGGTGAGCACTAATTTAACCCAAATGGTGATTTTGTACAACTATATTGAAAGAATGAAAAGGAAAATGTGGGTATGTTGGATTGCCTATACGGTGGGTGTGAAGAGTGGGAAGGTTAAAGGTGTGAAAGAGCTAAATCCACATCTTCTTAGGAACAAATTTATAATACTCACAACTAAAAAAACCTAAGAAATACTAGTATAAAAGTTTACTTCAAATCCGGAGATAAACAATACAAAAAAAAAAATATTTGTCTGAGGGAGTAGGACCGGGGTGGGGAGCGGAAAAAAAGGCAGAGGCCTACTACTTTTTATTATAAACCTAATAGCAGGTTTATGGGCTTTTTAAACTATGGAAAAATTAACTTGAGAGATAAAGACAGAAAAGTTCTGGACATTTTTAAATGCCTTTGTTTTTTTGGTGTTTTTTTGAGAGAGAGAGCACGAGCAGGTGGGGATGGAGGGGCAGAGGGAAGGGGAAGAGGGACAGAGAATCTTAAGCAGGATCCATGCCCAGCTCGGAGCCCAAAACAGGGCTCGGTCTCAGGACCCTGAGATCCTGACCTGAGACAAAATCAAGAGTTGGACCCTCAACCGACGGAGCCACCCAGGCGCTCCAAGTTCTGGACATTTTAAGGATACTTTAATTATCATGAGCCTAAAGGAAAAAGCAATTAGACCTTCATCTACTTCTAATACTTTCAGTTTTCTAAGTTGCTAATAATTATTATATACTAGAAGATTACAAACGTACCTGATTCAAGGTATTTTTTTAATGATTCTTCAAGTGAAGGAACAGGCAGAGATGGAAGAGAATCCTGGTACTGAAATGTTCGTTCTTCAGTTGATTTAGCCAACTGATTTTCCATGATGCAAGCACAACAGGAAAACTAAAGAAAAAAGCCCTGACAGTTTTAATATCATAAATATTCTTATATATGCTAGTTCTAATTCACTAAATCATTATTTGGGGACCACAGTATATCCAGATTTTGGTCCTAGCCCTTGAGGAAGAAACTTGTCGGAGAAAATCAATTAAAAAAAAAAAAAGCATTGACTCCAAGTGCTGGAATTCAAGGAGTCATCAGTGGAACTAGTGTAGTTTTGATTTACTGAGCACCCACTATTTGCCAAGTAGTACAACAGGTGTGATAGAAGATATTTATCTAATCTTCATATTATCCCTGCCTTTTGACAGTCACCTCCAGTCTGCATATGAAGAAATCAAAACTCAAGAGATTAGCAACTTTCCTAAGGTCCAATCCACATCTCTTTCATTAAAATCTTCGCCCAACATTAAAGCTAAGTGAGAGTGGGTGAGGAATCTCCCAGTAGGTCTAAATGGGTAGGTAGAGTGCAGTTGTGAAGAAAAGTATGATGCGTGGAAAGAGAGAACTCTCTAGAATAAGAGCAGTTTAAGACTCATCCAGCTGTAGAATATCACAGAATTCCTAAATCATGACAAGCTGCTGTAGCCTACTTATGCAGATGGTTTGAGGCCTACACAGAACAGTTTCAAGTATCCCAAAGCAATCTTAAACATTTACCACAAATTTATTAATTTTCCTCAGAGAAATCAAACTAACCCAAAATGTGAATGAGGTATACAAATGTTAAATGGAAAATGAGATTTCTCAAATAAGCCTTTAAAAATTAAGTTATATATTATAATAGCAATTGAGAAATCAAGGAACATTAATAATTACCTGCCTTTCAAATACCACTTTGTAAATTAAAATTAATAGCAGAGCCAAACAAAATATTCCACTCACAGAAGGTTATGGAATAAAACATTATCAAAAGCTAGGGTGTGGGGGCGCGTGTGTGGCTGCGTGTCTTGGGCGGCTGCCTTCGGCTCGGGTCATGATCCTGGGGTCCTCGGATCGAGCGCCGCATCGGGCTCCCTCTCCCTCTGCCTGCCACTCTGCCTACTTGTGCTCTCTCTGTCAAATAAGTAAATAAAATCTTTAAAAAAAAAAAAAAAAGCTAGGGTGTGGCAGAGGTTGTTATTGGTCAATATAAATTATCTCCTTTTTTTCTTGACAGAATCCTGAGTTCCAACTGGTTTTAAAGCCACACAGCTTTATCTTTCCTACCGTGCCCTGGAGCTCAGCAGGACTTTGTAATGTGTCTCCTCCAGGTCATGCCAGGTCATTTGTATTCTCCCTGTGTTTTCTCTCCTCACTGCCTAACAGGTAGGACCAACTGAAGCAGCACCTTGCAACTGTTTATGGAAGCCACGTATTGAGGTTGTCAGAACCTTCCTACTAGCCCTAGCCTCCTCCCACTAGATGTATGAAAAAACACTTATTCATGTCATTGTATTTTGGGCTTTCGTTGTCAGGGTAAAAGAGTTTAACCTATAACACTAAAATAAAGATTTAATCCAAAAGTAAGACACAACAAAGATCTCCTAATTCCTCAGCTTCTTCCCATATAATGACTTTGGCTGTACTTTATTTTGACCATCCATAAATATTAGTTTTAAACCCAATGGAAATACAGGTAAATACCAACTCCACCACTCTCTAGCCATGAGCTTCTGGGCAACTAACTTTAACTGAATTTCCTTATCCGTAGAGAGGATAATCATATAATCAGAAAGAGGTGTTATTAGACTATTTTTAAATGCCTACAAAAACACATTATAAAAATAATCTAGTTGAGACAACCATATTATGCTAGGCAAAATTTCCAGGAATGGCTCCCATGATTCCACCCTTATACTCCCCAGAACCTGTGAATATAAGGAGATCAGCACTTCCATGATTGTGACCATGTTGTCTTATACAGCACAGGTAACCTTAAATAGATTGATTATCCAGGTGGGTCTAATCACTGGAGCCCTCAGGAGCAGAATGCTTTCTCCAGCAGCGGGCTGTAGATGAGGCAGGGAGATTAAAAGCATGAAAAGGAATGAAGGCACTGTCTGGATATGAAGATACAAGTGGTCTTACGGAACTGAGAAAGCCCCCAGCTGGAACCCAGTGAGGATATGGGGACCTCGGTCCTACAACTGCATGAAAATGAATTCTGCCAACAACCTCAAATAGCCTACAGGTGGATTCTTTCCCAAAGTCTCCAGAAAAGGGCCCGAAACTACAGAAACCTTTATTTCAGTTTTGTGCGATGCTAAGCAGAGTATACAGCTAAACCTACCTGGACCTCAGATCTATAGAAGCTGTGAGATAACCAATTTGTGATTTTTTTTTGAACTGTTAAGTTTGTAATAAATTGTCGTTGGCAACAAGATTCTAATACATATATATAGAAAAGATACCCTAATTCGTTGTATACCTCCCTACTACTACTACTACTTAATGGACTCTAGAAAACTGATACCAAGACTACCAATCCCATGCTTACTAGTCTTAACTCACCAAAAGGTACACACTGAAAATGTGAAATTACCTGATTCGTTCAGGAAGGATTATTCTGAATTCTCTACCACGAAGATTAAATAATTCCAAAAGAACCTACATATGCATTAAGAAAATGATGCCACTGGAATTAATTACAGTAGGCATCCTCGGGGCAATAAAATGTAAACCATGAAAATAAAATGGAAAACAATCAGGAACGTAAGTAAAAAAAACAGTGTCACATACCGTTACACCAAGATGAACTGCTTAGGACTGCCAGGAGCTTGCTGCAACAATCCTGTTTTGAGAACACAGGGGTTTGAACTAGGCTGGTGACCGTGGAAAGGAAAAAACAAGCTTGACAACTGCAGGGGGTGCGGGGGATTTTAACAAAAACTGGTGAAAGAAAGTGGAAGACAAAAAATCTAGAGACTGGGAAGCCCCAAGACTTAAACTGTTGGGAATCACAGCAAACACGTACAAACTTCATCTGCTAAAGAACTGGCTAACAATTACTGTAGGATTAACCAGGCTTCGGACAACCACACTCTCATTACACAAAGTGCCTCCCGGTGCCCGGTCTCAGGGCGACAAGGAGTTCAAAGCTCGGCTGGAGAAAACGGGGGTGCAGAGTGCGACGAGAGCTCAGCCTCCTCCCACCACACCAAGAGCAGCTCTGCACACTCAAGAAGCCAAGCGAGAGAAATCTAAGTAAGCAGTACTATGGACCAGCCCAGCGGCCCAACCTCCGACCCCCGCAGGCAAGATGCCTGACAACACGACGCTCCCGCCGAGTGCTGGCACTTCCGCCGTTGTACTCTATTTAACTCTATTCTAAGCAACTTAACTTTCTCCCACGATGCCCAAGGTTTCGGGTTGGAAGAGAGCGCTGTCTCGTTGGGCCTGCGGGTCCTCGCCGCTTGCGCTCCACCTACTCCGCCACAGCCGCGAGCTGAGGAGCGGGAATTGGACGGAAAGCCGCGAGGGTCCCGCCCCGCGGTCACCGGGGAACGAAGATTGGATGGAAAGCCGCGAGGGCCGGGGACGAGCCGGGCCTGCGGTCTGGGAGGACCCAGCCCCTCCTCCCGTGGGCGTCCTCCGCAGAGAGGTCGGGTATAGGCTGCGCGCCTGGGAAAGGCTTCCCGGACGCGCGAGGAACGGCCCAAGCCCTTGCGGCATAGCAGTTAACTACTTGTTGCACGTGGAGCACTACGCCGGGTCAGGGGATACCGCGGAGACTCGGGTCCCGCAGTGCTCCACCCACGCAGGTACACTTAAACCCCTGGGACCGATTCGGGAACTGGTGGCTTAGACTTGTTTTCACCCACTTTGTGCAAGACCCGGCGCCCTGTTTCCCTTCCTCTTCTAGCCCCAGCTCTGGCTTACCAGTCGCTCCTCCCCCGTAACAGTGAGACTCTTTTTGCAACCCCCAAGCAAGAATTTATACTAATGCCTCTGAAGAGAATCTTGTTCACTCTGTGTCCTGCTGGCAAGAGAGCAGTAACCGCAAAGATCTCTACTTACTCTCTTTTCCTTTATCCAGCTGAGACTGAAGTTGGCCCAGCGTAGATAATGCTGGAGCACTCTGCAGCATGCCTGGCTTCCCTACCCTTCTACACTTCTTCCTGATCCCAAGGTCCGTGAAGCCCCGAGGGATGCTCACACTACAAGCCTGGGGTTAATCTTTTCCTATTGTGCCAAAAAATGGGAGTTTTTAACCAAAGTGGAGCTAGACAAGTTCAAGAGGATCATAATGTAATTAACTTAGTTTCACAGGCTAGTCTATTTTACATTTCCCTTTTGAAACAAAAGATACTGTTACGGTTTTCATTTTAAATACATTGTTTCCTTTTTGTGGAAGAAAAGACCAATCGTTTACACTGGCTCTGAACCAGGTATCAATTATAAAGAACCGGATTTCAGATAAACATGTCATTACAGGTCCCAGTCCTTTATCTGTCTTTCCTAACTCCCTTACTGGTTAAATCTGACCTGAACGCAATTGAAGCCGTGTATAACCGGATATTCACTTGGTGTGAATAGTCGTAAGTTTTCTACGGAACTATTAACGTGTTTAATTACAGAGCAGCTCCAACCCTTGCTGGAGGTGTTGCATAATATATGACTGCACACCTTTCTAATAAAAGTTCTGAATTCTGAGATATACCAGGCCAAAAAGGCTTCAGATACAAAGTTGTAAATTACTTGTAGTAGTTATTTCTGAAGCTGTGATAAAGAACATATCTCAAAGTATGTAAATGCTGTGTTCTGGATAACGTTAAAATTGGCTTACAAGGTAGTATTCTTTTTTTATATTTTTATTTATTTATGTGACAGAGAGAGACACAGCGAGAGAGGCCGGGTGGGAGGAGTGGGAGAGGGAGAAGCAGGCTTCCCGCAGAGCGGGGAGCCCGATGCGGGGCTCGATCCCAGGACCCTGGGATCATGACCTGAGCCAAAGGCAGACGCTTATGGACTGAGCCACCCAGACGCCCCACAAGGTGGTATTCTTAAACAGAGTAATTTTTAAAAACTGCTCAAAAGCCTTCATTGTAGTTTTTTCTTCTTCCTGCTGAGTTTTGGCACCTCTTAAAAAGTTTGTGCATGTTTAATGCCTGTTGGTGGCATAGAATTTAGGGTCTCTTACCTTCACTGTCTCCTACCCTGGATATTGATTTATCCAGGAATCTTTTCTGTAAAGATTCCTGGATTCTTGCAAGGGGAAAAAAATGTGGACTGAATGAAAATGACAGGAACAGAGACTTGAATGTGCAGAGCAAAAAATGTAACCTTTTAAAATATGTTATACTGGTAAGTGTATGTACCCATAGCCTAAAAAGCATATAAGTGATTTTTCTTCAAAATGAGTAATATGTATTTTAATGGTTGATTCCAAATTATGTTATGTTCAGGTTAAACTTGAACTACTTTGCATTTCCTAGAATGATGTGGGTGATATTGCCTAAAAGGACGATGTTTCAGGGACATGAAGTACATTGATAACAAGTTGTCCCAAGATTAAAAACTGATTGTGAATCAAAATACTTTTCTGGACAAAAACTTGTAGGTACTGTAAGTGGTAGTAATAAGTTTTTTTAAGTTGCCATAAAAGATCTTTCATTTTTAGTCCTACATAGCTTTTTCTCACTATACTACAAACAGAAAAAGCCCTTATGGACAAGTCTAGATGAGTTCCATAATAAAAAGTACGAAGCTATGAGAAGTTTGCATTTCCATCTGCACATCTAGCTTACTGCTAAGACTTGTAACTTTCATGAGGAAACTGAAGGGACTCCATTTTAGAAAAGCTCTATCTCTGCTGTTTCTCTGCTAGGCCCCATTTACTCATGTTCTATATTTCATCTTGCATCTGAGTAAACCAAAGAAGCTATGTTCCCACTCCAGGGGTGGGAAGCAAGAAAGTTGATCATTTTCTGAGTTTTGTCTGGGGCCCCCATACACCTTATAACATCTTAAGAACAAACCGCAGTGGACACTGGTGCCAGTAGCCCCTTCAGTGATTTACGGAGTTACCCCTGTTGTTCACTGGACACTCACCTTTGATGGGACCCTAACCTGGATTCCCTTTTTTTTTTTTGGTGGTAGTTTTATGGCTTTATTAACACAAATATGAGGTGCACATAAGCTGTCTATTCATTTTCTTCATTATGCAGCCTGGCATTGGGATTGGTGGCTCTGGTGGCCGGCTGGGCTGCTCTTTCCACAGTGGCTTTGCAGTTCTCGGAGGAGACATCGTGAGCAATCTCTGCACACTAAGATTTGTTGCACATCAGCAGCACTTCAAGCTCCTTGACACTGTGGACTAGAAACTTCCAGAAGCCACTGGGCAACTCAACAATCAATGTTGAGTATCAAGATCTGGCCCTTGAATCTTCTACGCACTCTATCATCACTGCCTCTGGGTTTCCACCAGTTGTGCTTAATTTTGACATACCGGTCTGACTGGTGCCAAATGAACTTCTTGATCCTCTTTTTAACGATCTTGGGCTTCACCAGAGGTCTGAGGGCATCCATGATGCCCAGTAACAGATGGCTGCCACCTCCTCAGGCAGCGCTGAGGAAGAGAGCCTAACCTGAATTCCTGAAGGAACCATACCCTGGACCCCTTTCCAGTATAAAACCCTAATCTCAGGCAATGGAGAAATTCACTTCTCCTTTTCTCAGCCTCCCAGACACTCCATCTACTATATGGTATCACTTACGCTATTCATTAAACTCTGCTTTCATGTCTTCCTGGCTTGGGTTTTATTTCTATCCTGCACAAAGCCAAGGACCCTCTTCACTTTTCCCATGGGACCCTATTTGGGTCCTCAGACATGGCTTGCCTCCATCACTAAGAAGTAATGAAGTAATGTATAAATAGCTCTAATCTATGGGATAGATCTTTACTTTCATCCCAATGCATAAAATGAACATATTGAAGAGATAATTATGTGATCTTTTATTTTTAATGTGGAGGACAGTAAAAAGGTGGTCATTTTGGGAAGCAGCCAACAGCAAACTAAAGCATGCTGGATGCAAAGAGACCAACCAGAGACTAAAAATTAACTCCACTACCAACGACAGATGAACACACAAGGGGCCTCTTTTTGGCACTGATCATTGTTTTGGGATTGCCTTTGATGATATTTACTGTATATAAAAATTTACCACCAGAATCCTGGGGAAGAGTTAAGGTAACTATGATGTTTTATATCTGATATAAAATTCCTTATTACTAAACAGAACATAACATTTTTAAAAAATGTAAAGCCTTATCAAGATATAATTTACATACCATAGTTTGCCCATTTGAAGTATGTAATCAGTGGCTTTTACTGTATTTACAGGGTTATGCAGTCACCATAATTGAATTTTAGAACATTTTTATCACTCCCAAAAGAGCACATTGTACCCATCAGCAGTCATTCCTCACCAACCCCCCAACTCCTACCTTCCGCCTTATGCAACCATTAATCTACTTTCTGTCTCTATAGATTTGCCTATTCTAGACACTTCATGTGAATAGGAACATACCATAGGTCTTTTGTGACTGGCTTCTTTCACTTCGCATCATGTTTTCAAGATTTATCCATGTTGTAGCATCTATCTGTACTTCATTTCTTTTTATGGCTGAATGATATCATATTGTATGGATATACCACATTTTATCAATTTGTCAGTTGACAGGCATTTGGACTGTTTCTATCTCTTGGTTATCAAAATAATGCTGCTGCTGTAAATGTTCATATACAAGTTTTTGTGTGAGCATATGTTTCCATACCTAGGAGCGGAATTGTTGGGTCATATGCTAACTCTATGTTTAACATTTTTAGAAACTGCCACGCTGCTTTCCACCACAGCAACTGCACCATTTTACATTCCCACCAACAAAGAATCAAGGTTCCAATTTCTCCACACCATAAAAACAGTAACAATATAAGAGTAACACTTGTCATTGTATGTCCTTTTGGTTATAGCCACCCTAGTAGATGTGAAGTGTTAGTTCATTGTGGTTTTAATCTGCATTTCTATGAAGACTAAAGATGTTGAGCATCTTTTCCTGTGCTTATTTACCAGTTGTGTATCTTTGGAGAAATATCTATTCAGATTTTTTACCCATTTTTTTTAAACTGGCTTGTCTTTTTGTTGTTGAGTTTTAAGAGTTCTTTGTATATTCTGGATATAAATCTTATCAGATAAATGATTTGCAAATATTTTCCTTCCATCCTGTGCATTGTCTTTTCACTTTCTTGATAGTGTCCTTTGAACCACAGATGTTTTTAATTTTAATGATGTCCTAATCAGTCTAATATCACTTGTAATTTTGACAGTGTAGCTAAGAAGTCATTACCTAAGCTAAGATCATAAAGATATACTCGGGTGTTTTCTTCTAAGAGTTTTACCGTTTTGGCTCTTGTACTTATGCCTATTATTCACCGTAAGTTACTTTTTATGTGTGGTGTGAGGAAGGGGTCCAAATTCACTCTTTTACATGTGGAAATCCAGTTGTCCCAGAATCATTTGTTGAAAACATTCTTTCCTCATAAAACTGGCTTGGCTCCTTTGTCAAAAGTCAATGAAGTATAAATGTTAGGGCTTATTTCTGCACTCTCAACTCTCGTTGGTTCATCTATGTGTCTATTCTATGCCAGTACCACATTGTCTTGATTATTACAGTTAAATTTTAAAATATGGAAGTCTGAGTTCTCCGACTTTGTGGGTCTTTTTTCAAGATCAATTTGGCTATTTTGGATTTCCGTGTTTCCAAGGACCTAACATTTTGCAGGATAGCTAGGGACACCAGAATATACACCAAATTTGATTTAGTATATATATATTGACTTTTCATCTAGATTATGCTTCTGAGAAACCAATCTAATCTAGTTAGTGAACTGGAAATACCAGTGTTCTTGGTTCTTTCCAGTATCATGCAGCTATATCTCCATTTATACAATTGTTATGAAGAAAAGGGTATTTACAAACGTGAAGTTTAATGTGAATATTTGTTAATAACACTAGGTTTATAATCTATATATGGCATAATATTCATGTTAATGGCTATCTAGGGGATCTTTCCCCAGATAAAGAATAAGAGAAACAAGAGAAATAAGATAATAGAAATAATGTATATGTATCCTCAAAAGGACACCAGTCTTATTCCATTTAGTTTTTAAATAACTATAGTTTAACCAAGAAAGTGCTGTGGTCAGCCCTCTAGAAAAACATCAGTTAGGGCCAATCATCAGGCCGTAGGCTACAAGGCAAATAGTATTATCAAGAATCTAACTTTGGTGCTCGCTTCGGCAGCACGTATACTAAACAAGAATCTAACTTTGAAAGTCATTTGAAAAACTGGTTACCATGGAATTGTGCATGATCTCCCTGATTATATTTCATCATGTTTACTGACATTTGAAACTGAACTTGTTTTAGTTTTAGGAATATTTTTCCATTTTTAGTTGTGTTTTTATAATCAACAATATGAAATGTTCTACTAACATAAAACTATCAATCAACATTAAGTGCTTAGAGGAAAATGTCAGATTTTGAGAGTGACTTTTAATTTGTTACCTTTTTGTAATACACTGAATATTTTGTCTTTTTAAATTTGCATTCCATATTTATACCTCATATTTTGATACATATCTTATAATGTACTTTGCGTATTAAAATACATGTATATTTTCGTTGAAGTATATTGAAGGCATTGTATTATTTAAAACAATTCTGGGGTGCCTGGGTGGCTCAGTCAGTTAAGTGGCTGCCTTTGGCTCAGGTCATGATCTCAGGGTCCTGGGATCGAGCCCCGCATTGGGCTCTCTGCTCAGCAGGGAGCCTGCTTCTCCCTTTTCCTCTGCCTACTGCTCTGCCTACTTGTGTTCTCTTTTTTTTTTTTCTATCCTTCAGTTTTTAGAAAGGATACCATACACCAAACAGAGGGAACTTCATTATGGGTTTGTACAGAAGGGAAGGTGTCATGTTATTCTGTATTCTTTCATCACAGTACCTTTACCAATTTGCAACTCCTCTGAGCTTCCATTTTTTTTTGTTTTGTTTCCTTGCTTGTTTTTTGTCTATCATGCTTGTGACTAAACACTAACACTTAAAATTACCAAGAACTTTTTGAAAGTTTTATTAGAAGGATTTTTATGTCAGCCATGAGATGAGGTGAAGTCACCTGCTATGTCACACTTCCTTGTAATTATGGAACTTAAAAAAATGGGAAGCACAAATAACTGGAATTTATGTTTAGTGTATACCAAGATAATTGATGTTTATAAAGATCTGAAATGTTTCATAATCTCAAGTACCTTCTGAATTGCCAAAGAGATATGAAATTATGTTCTACATACTCAGGATCAAGCATCAGTTATTGTCCTATTCTTGACAATCCTATTACAAAGCAGAGGCAAACAAAGCATGGTGTGATGTTTGTACTACCATCTTTAATATCAAGAAGCTGAAGGAAGATTTCCATTTCTGCTCCAAATATCAAACTTACCTTCCCCCATAATAGCATCCCCCTTTAATATCCCCCATAATAGCATGCTAAAAAGGCTCAAAGCCTTGTCAAGTTTATCTAAACATATTAACATATAAGCGACTTGAGATATACACAGTATATGAATAAGACCTCTATTACAGTGAAATTAATTAAATACAAATCCCTTTCCTTATTCTCTTTCCAGTTACTGGTTACTTTTCAAACACAAACTCATAAGGTTAGTATGCTTCTTTGAAGAAGTAATTTCATTTTTTATTAGAGCCAAGTGGAACCATGTGTTCCTTGTTGAAACTTGTAACAACTACTGATTTCTTCTGTACTGATAGTCCCTGTCTAGCTTTACTTGAATTCTATACATTCAGTATCTTTAAGCTGTCCCATCTCTTGGGGCACCTGGATGGCTCAGTCGGTTAGGCAGCTGCCTTAAGCTCTGGTCATGACCTCAGGGTCCTGGGATCGAGCAGAGCCCCGCATCACTTCCGCATTGGGCTCTCTGCACAGCCGGGAGCCTGGTTCTCCCTCTCCCTCTGCCCCTGCCCCCGCTTGTGTCCTCTCTCACTCTCTCCCTCTCTCTCAAATAAATTAATAAATTTTTTAAAAAAGTAATAAAATGTCCCATCTCAGCTAGTATATTTGTGCTTTCCTTTAAGCTTTCTCTTTCTCTGAATTCACGGGACCTCTTGAACAATCTTTGTCTTTTCATTTTTATTTCTATCTTGTTATACCTCTGGGGCACATCACCTCATGTGAGCCTAAAGCTCACAGGACACATGTGATTTGTAGCCAGGCTTCCCAACTTGGCTCAAAGGCACTATGTTGATGTTGAGTGGTCTTGAAAATTCAGAGGCTGTGTTCAGTAATTATTTGGGTGTACAAATCTGGAGCTCAAGAGAAAGTTTATATGAGGCTTCAAAGAAAATATAACTATCATATGAAATTTCAGGGAGAAAAAGTAGTTTTTTAAGAGAGAACTTCAGCATCTACAGCTCTCCCTGTATCTCCTTATTCTGTACCTTGGGTTCTTCTC